CCGAGCGCAGAGCGAGCCCTCTCGAGCGCTACGGAAGCTCCGTGGAGAAGGAGCAGAGCGGACCGCCGCCCGGCATTGAAAGCGGCAGCGATCGCGGACGGGCTCGAATGCTCCGTGGCGTACACCTGCGGGCATTGTTGCCGGTGAAACAGAGAGAAAGAGCAAGCGAGAGCGAGAGAGCGACCGGAGGTGGCTATCGATCCTCCTTTCTGCGCCGGGTGAACAACCAACGTCCGATAAGCTCCGAGCTGTCTTCGAGAGGCGTAATGAATGCCCGAGGCGCGAGGCTCGCTGTCGTCGACGAGTCTGACGCCAGGAGGGCCATCAGCTGATTCCTCGCTGCAGTTACGTCGGATCCCGCGCCTATTCCAAATGTGCCTGGTGAAAGTCGCCGCGTGTCGTGGCGCGCGCACGAGCTAGAGGGGGGTCGAGCAATCTTCGAAACAATACGCGGCATCTTGATTACTTGCAAGGCGAGTCGCGTGTGGCACTCGTTATTCAGCGTCCCCGACTATTAGCAGTGGGTCACGAACCGCTGGACTTTCTCATTACTCTTGTGCAAACGAACGTCGTCGTCGTCGTCGTCGTCGCCACCGCCGCTCGGGCTTTTCGAGCCATCGACCCTCTCCCCCTTTCCTGGCCTCTCCTCTTTCATTTCCGTTCTTATCCGACATTCAGACTCTTCGCTACGGTCTCTTAATTTCTCGTCTAGCGCGATTCTCCTTCCCTTTCCGCGGATTTCGTTTCTCCCTCACTCCCCCCATTTTTTTTCCAGCCGACAAAGATTGTTCTTCAATGAGTGCTCGAAGATACACGAGCAGTTCAGTTGTAATTGTCAAGTGATTCGATATCTCGCGGCGGGAGAGCTCTGCTGTAATTGTATCGTCGTCGGTTATACTTTCCAAAGTGCGACACTGACGAGTAAGCAGTTTCCCAAGTAGACTTTCACGACTGACCGAACAATTTTTTTTCCCCTCTTTTCTCTCTCTCTCTCTCTCTCTCTCTCTCTCTCTCTCTCTCATCGTACGTTTTATCGGACCGACATTTATGTTTTCCGATGCCATAATTATGGAGCTTGAAACTCGCATAAAAGTTGCGCGAGTGCGAAAATTGAAGCGCGCTGACACATCGACTCAAGGGATATATCGGATCGACGAATGTACGCCTCTCGACTCGTTCCGTTGGGCCAGCGTGCGAAGCGAGAGAGCGGCGCGACATTGAACTCCGATAACGCGATGAGCGCGTACGCAATTTTCATTAGCTGCGTCCGACGGATCGCGTTGAGTAATGAGGTTGCGACCTAGCCATAGGCGCGCCCTCGTGACACTGCGCTGCGCGTAATGATCTTTGTTCTTTCAAGCTGAGCAAATAAAGTCTGCGCAGTGTTTCATTAGGTTTCATTGGATTATTGTGCGTCGCAATGGCGATCGTCTGTTACTAATTCCACCGATTTGCCGGCATTCCTAATATCATATAATACTACTAATAAATAGTACGATCAAGCCCGTATCGTCTCGCGAAAATCGTATTAAAAATTCATCAGCTCGAGCTTACAGTAGAATCTTTATTTCGAAGAATTTTCTTGCTATAAGAGGATTCCCAGCGAGAGACTTTCGAGATACTTTCGCAGTATCTCTTATAGATTTTAATGTCATGAAAATCGAGACAATGCAAGCATTCTCTTTGAAGCAATAAGATTACGTAGACTTTAATATCAAAATTCTATGAGTCGCAAAACAGTATTATCAGCTCGAGTGGCGACCAACGACTGTTAGTAAGAACGTTTCGACGGATATCGATCTGATAAACTATATACCGCAGGCTTACAACTACACTAAATGCTTTTGCAAGATATTTATTATAGGTCCCTGTTGATAATGTTCAATTGTGTGATCATTTCCACCATTTGTTTATGACAGCATCTTTTTGTTATTGTTTTCACCACTAATTCGAGTACGGCACGTATTATCTTGCCATTAGCATTAACATCGTCTGCGCTTGCAGATATAGATATTGAAAGTGAACGTAAAACTTGGTTTTACAACTATTTCTTGAATTTTCCTTATTAGCTATCGCGTGAAAGAAAAGATTGTCGATGCGTCTATTGTAAATTAGGAATTTATAGTAATTCTATTAACATTAAATCTACTGACATATTATATATACCTATTTCTACCGAATGGCGGTCAAATGACCGCTTTTGAAATAAACAATTATAGTCTTTTCCAGTTGATTGTAATTAATACAAAATTTAGCATAAACAATAAACACAAAATAATTATCATATAATAATTAAAAACCATTTATTTTTCGAGTCATTTCACCGCTCTGATAGGTTTAGTGTTGATAATCGATTACAATACTATCGATGAGAAGAATTATTTTCTAGTAAGCAGCTATCAATTGCAGCGTTACTTTCCGGCGTGTCGTGTATTCATGAATGTGAAAATTAACGATTTCGTTCAGAACGAAGTGACAAAACCATGTGACGGTGAACAAGTAGACCGAAAACCTTATGCTGACAGAATTGAGAGACTTGAAAACGCGAGTAAAATAATGATTTTAAAACTGATTTAGGGACGAGTTTTTAAAAAAATTCTTTTTTCGGGGCGTGTTGGTGAAACCACGCGTCGGCGTTTCTGGAAGAATCGTTGCAATCATTAAAAATTTTGAAGGAGCCTTGAGAATTCTACCGAATGAAATAACGAGTTGGAGAAAAGATTTGATGAAATACGGACTGGGAACGTATATCGGTCAGGCACTTGATTTGACTGGAAAATTGAAAAAAAAGAAAACCGAAACGTCGTTTTCTCTACAATACCCATCAAACTTAATCGCGCTACTGTTCTGAATGTAATGCGAAATTGTGAGCTTATCAAGCGAGCGTGGATTCTCTTAGCTTATCCCTCTGCGTCATATCGGAATTGCAATTTCGCGTGGTGCGCCGCGCAAGCCTTCCACCCGGCACGTCATAATTATTGCAGCCAGAGTGTGAAATATGTATACGTCCGCGCGCCGGACTGCCGCCTAGCTCACGGTGACTTTCCGCTGCGTCGTCGTTGTGATATCGCTCGCCGGGCAGAGAAAGATCCGCCGCCTCGCTTTTACTGCAAATTGCAATTTTTATTTTGCTCGTTTTGAACGTGAAAGTTTTATTCTGGAATTGCTTTTTGAAAACGTCACGAGGGCACTTGTTTGCCCCACTCAAAAAAACGGACGGCGCGCGCGAGCCTATTCTTCGCGTTACAGCTCGCGACTCTTGACCCGTGCGGGGAGCTCTCGGCGAGACTGAAAAGTTGGTATCACCGCCGAGTTTATAATTTTTTTTTAATGTCCTCGACAAGAAACGCTCGCGCGGACGTTGACGAAGATGAATTTATCTCTCGAAGCGTGCAAGTCTGTCATTTGCGAAGTGGAGCCGTCCGTCATCCCGCAGTATAATATTCCAATTTTTTTTTTCTCTCGCCCTCTCTCTCTCTCTCTCTCTCGCACACACGCGCACATACGCGCACATACGCGCACGCGCTCTTTCGAGAAATTTTCAAAACTTCGCCGACGCGAACAAATACGAAAGAAACACGCCAATCTGTTAGATTCTATGTGCGCGTTCGTTTCGACCTGTCATCCTTTTAAGCGCACGCGTGAAAAGTGAAAAAAGAAGCGGCAACTTTTTCGACGATGAATTATTGAAATTGTCGGGAAAAATTTTATTTAGCGTTGAAGAGCGCGTTAAAGCGCGCTGCGTTCGCGACGAGAGGAGGAGCGGAATAGGATCGAGGCTCGATTTTAATGCACCGATAAACAGCATCTTTGGCTGCGAGCCGCATGCAAGATGCTCGGCTCGCTTTAATCTTGCTTGCGACGTCGCGAGAGCTAATGAAATTTTTATTGGAAGCTAGCGACTGCAAGGACGAACGACTCTTTGAGCTGAATAAGGGATGTGTCATCCGCCCGGCATGAATTTGCAGGCGACGGGGGCTCGTGCAAAGAGCGCGACAAACATATTCTATTTCGCAACGTAACGACATTCCAGCAGCAGCGACGGCAGCGAAGGGTTGACGCGCGCGTTACTTGCTTAATGTGTAATTGCACTTCTCCCGGCTGCCTCAGCCGGTGGTGCAATTCGCCCCGCGAAAGAAAGGACAACAGCGAATATGAGGGTGAATTGCCAGACGTCGCATCTACCTATACGTGCCGGGGCTTGACTTGACTGATGGTATTCGAGCTGTCGGGTAGTGCGAAAGGTAGCTCAAGTATTTGATGCTGCGTCAATAGTGAGTTGCAGCTTTTGGAGAGTCTCCGCTGACGGAAAATCCAATAAAATTGATGAATAGCAGAAACGCGCCGTGTCTAAACCTTTTTTCTCCTCTCTTTCGCGAGAGACACTGAAAATTCTATAATTACTCTCGGAAAGTATCGAATTCCATTTGGAAACTTGGTATGTTTACGCGTCTCGCACGATAACTACGCGAAAGTAACTCGACGGTCGTCTCTTTCCGCTTGGTTACGCGAAAACATTTTCATTTTCCGCGGGCTTACGCGTTGGACGTCGTCACTTCAGCAAACCGTCGCTCGCAAAAATGCTACAAGGACAACTAAAGCTGCAAGAGGAACGGAGAACGGAATGAAAAAGTGAACCAAAGTTAACTTTGCGATTTCGACATTCGACTCGTGACTAAAATGCCTAGGAACTGCAACGCCAGGACGCAACACGTCCGTCAACAACACGCAAAGGCAGCTTTGGTGCTTGCGAGCGTCTCTGGAGGCCGGCCGGCTGGCATTGCTGCTTACGATCACTCGGGACTCGTTTGATGGGCTCTCTCTCTCTCTCTCTCTCTCTCTCTCTCTGGCCTCGACCGTTCGACTACGCGCATTCGTCCCGCGCCGGTTTCTCCTTTGTCCGAGTTTCTCCACGTCGAGAGCGGCGCGGTCCGCCTCGAGATCGACCGCGGGTGTGTCGTCGATCGTTTCACTCGAGCTTGCGGTCGGCGGTGTTGCAGGCGAAGCTGCGCGTGATGGTGGAGGAGAACACAGGCGCGAGCCTGCGGCTCGACTCCGGCCTCGAGCTGGACAAGTCGAGCCGCGGTTGCGGCGGCCAGGCGGCAGCCGGCAGCAACAACAACAACAACCACCACCACCACCACCACCACCACCAGCACGGCGGCAGCAGCGAGCGCTGCAACAGCAGCAGCGCCAGCAGCACCAGCAGCGCCAGCACCACCGGCGGCACCACCACCCCGTCGAGCAGCGGCAGCGGAGCCCCGTGCAACGTCAACAACTCGTCCAGTCCGGCGAGCGGACCCGACGCACTGCCCAGTCCGCACAATCTCGCGCAAGCCGACGACCTCGTCGGCAAGCGGCTCAGCACCGGAAGCAGTCCGGTCGACAAGAGGAGCTCGTTGAGCGACAAGAGCGTCAGTCCCGTCGACAAGAGGTGCAGTCCCATCGACAGGAAGGATGCCTGCAGTCCGACTGATCGACGGCCTAGTCCCATCGGCGAACGTAAGTGACACCTCTCTGCCGATAGTATTGTTGGACGCAACGGTTGCCGCGACGATATTTTAAGTCGACATTGGAGTTCCCCATCCGGTATTCTCCACTTGGGCCACTGTGTTCCCATTGCAGAGCGGCGAAACGGTTCGCCGGCGAGCCCCGGCGAGAAAGCGGCAGCGACGAACGGGCGCAGGCCGTGCGCCCCGGCCCTGGAGAAGACGCGACTGGGCGGCTCGGGGGGCAGCTGCGACTCGCGGTCCGACAGCGCCAGCCCCGTGGGCACGCGCAGCTTCTTCCAGCGCGGCGCCAGCGAACGCTCCAGTCACGAGCGGCTCAGGATCACGGCCGCGCGCAGCCTGCTCGAGTCGGCGGCCAGGTCCAAGGACGGAGACGACTCCAAGGACTTCCTCGACGGGGACGCGCGCACCGACGAGGACAACGAGCCACCCGGGCCCGCGCCCAGCAGTCGGCCCCACTCGCCGGGCAATCCACTCGGTGCGTCGTCCTTGCCTTGCTGGTAGTTTCGCGCCGTAGCGGCGAGAGCGCGACTGACCGATCGCTTGCGTGGGCACAGGCATCGGCGACCCGCTGGTAGCGTCGCGCCTGTCGAACCTGCACGGCGGCGGCCACGTCGAGGTGGCCTTGACCCGTCGGCTGCGCTTGGAGAACGACCGCCTGGTAGCCGAGGTGGCGCGGCTGCGTCGGCTGCTGCTGAGCGGCGCGTCGCGGGGCGAGGTCGGCGCGGACGAGGCGGGCATCGAGGACGAGGCGCGTTGCGTCGCCCTCGAGATGGAGCTGCAGCACGTGCGCGAGCAGGTGCACAGCCTCAAGGCCGATCGCAAGAGACTCCGCGCGGAGAAATTCGATCTGCTCAATCAGATGAAGGCACTCTACGGCACCCTCGAAGACAAGGAGAGAGAACTGAGGGATTTCATCAGGAATTACGAGCAGGTTGGTGTTTTACTTTTACCGCTCTATTGCAATTCGGCGACGACGCTTCCATTCGAGCGAATGGAAATTGACTTTTATACCGTCAATTCTGATGAAAATGGCGTATCATTTGATACTGCAGACTCGGGTGGCCTGGAATGGCTGATGAATGCCGCGTTGACCTATTTGAAATTTCCCGTCGAGTTGATTTTTCGGAACTCGAAACTAAAAATAAACAAAACCGAATTTCTCTCTCGCTCTCGTCGTTTTTGTTGCATTAAACTAACAAATTTATTTTCAAATATATCTCCATATAAGTAATTGTTCGGTTTGAAAAATTGACGTTTCACTTCGCCGATGGGAAAACATTTCCATAGCGAAGCCTTTGTCGATGGAGCAGTTCAATGATAAACGAAAAAAAATGCCAATTTGTCCTCGAAGTGAAAAGAGCCGGAGGCCGAGCGATAATTTTTTGCGGGGAAAATGGATGAAACAGTTGATACATACGGCATGTGTCAGCGATGATAGTGAAAACAGAGCGGAGAAAAGGGTGGAGAGGAAGAGATGTTGGCGAAGATATCCGAAGAGTCGCATGGCATCGACGCGTTGCTCTATAGATTTCGGGGATCGAACAGAGTTGGCTTGGCTCGATGAAGCGGCCGCCGATAGGCTTTGAAAAGCCTTGTCAACTGCAACTCGGCTCCGACATATCCACGGGGATTTTTCCGGCGATAAAGCGCCCCGTCAATTACCCGTCGCCTCCGATTCACTTCCCTATCCTTCTACCGCGCTCCTGCTTCGCCTCTCCCTTTTTTTTATTTTTAAAGCCGGCGGCTTCGGCCCGGCAAAGATGCTGCGCTCCGCTACTGCCTGGATAAAGTCGAGCTTAATTTGCGTCAAAGCACACTCGCTCCGTCATAGCGCTGCTACGCGCTGCTACTTTTCATTATCGGCGTGTTGTCGCTCGATGCCCCGGCAAATCGAGTTGCACACTTGACAGGCTGCCAAGGGAATACTGAAAAGCCAATGTTGCGGGAAGTTTCCAATTGCTACCAAGCACCGTGCTCTGACGTGATACTCTATTATAGGCTTTTCACTGTTTTCCAAATAACTTTGAAATATTCCTCGTAAGAATTCACCTCGATAAAATTCGTAGCATCAAATATTCTTAATTTTATAAAGGTTACAGTTTATTTATTTTTTATAAAGGTTCAAATTTATCCGTTTTCTTTTTTTATAACAATCGAAAGCTTATCTTGTTCATAAATACATCGTTTCGTGAAGATAGAGACATTAACGAATATTATTTTTAAATTTGTACAATGGTATGTCGTTGGAAGCTTACTCTTTTAATTCTTCAAAATTCTCTCGACAAGATAAGCACAACAAACATAACTACAAAGTAAGTTCCCTAATAAAAGTTCACTTACAGTCGTAATCCCTTATTATCACAGGCTCGAACCCTGCAAGCAGCTTCGCGGGATCGAAAAATATAATGCTGCGCGGATAAAAAGAGAGAAAGCGAAAGTCGACTCACGCGAGACAAGACAAAGAGAATAAATAGAGCTAGCGAGTGCGTTGAAAAAAAGGGACGCCACCCTAGTAAACTTTCTCCCCCTGAGGATTATCACCGTCTTCGTCTGGGGATAAGCAGAAGGTCGTCGAGGGAGAGTATTTATCGCGTGGGCGAACCGATGAAATATGCATTTTTTTTCTCCGCTTAGCGTTTCCTCGAGCAGACGACACAACGGATTGGAGAAATTAGGCTGCGCGGATGGAAAATTGGCGTGAGACTCTTCGAAAGTCGTTTGTGTCGCGAGCGAGTTCTGCTTCTGCCGGCGCGCTCAACGTTTCAATCTTCGTCTGGATATTCTTTGACTGACAATTTGAAGAGCGAGATAACATAAACGTACACAAAGTGCGGCACTCCATCGGCTTCCAGAAAGCAATTACCTCCGCGAACTTTCGGTATGTTCGCGTCGGCTCTCATTGTTTGGAAGTTGCAGCACTCGAGGTAATCCCGTCGTTGGATTGCGACGCGTAATCAGACTAATCAAGAACGTCTTACGCGAATGCTATGATTGTTGCTCTGAAATCATTTCCGAAAGGGAGAGAGTGGATAATCAACTTGGTTTAATAGGATATCGGTGCAGCCTCAGGCGTCACCCTCCTTCCTCTCAAAATTCATTTGATGCTGTTTGAGGAAAGAAGGAACTCCTTGTAGTACATTTGTATTATTTACCGTCGAGAAGAGAACGCTGGGAGGTAACTTATGGGGTTGGCATCCCTGTCATTTTCTCTTTTAATCCCTTAGTTGTCCTTACATGTAATATTTTTTACATATTTAATTCAGAGTCTCGTGTTTTTATATCAAATGATGAGTTGACTTATAAAATACTATTACGCAAATATATTCTTTGCTTACTTATCGTATAGATTTTATCACAGTCATTTCATACGATTTTTTTCAGTTTTTTAATTACTGATAGACTTTGATTTTCGGCAAAAGCAGCAATACATGTGATTACTTAAAAAATTAAAATAAACTACGTATATTATTTTTCATACAATTTCGTTGATGACACAAAAGGATCATGCATCCAAAATATATACGATTTTTTGTAGAAGGAAATTTGGAAATTCCGAGGTGTATATTTGGGAAGGAATATTTTTACAAATGACACGTCCTTTTATTTAGAGTTGTTTAAACGAGAGATCCTTGTCGATGACATCGACCACTTTTACGTCATTCATCGAGACGACAATGTTCACAGAATGAATGGCTTTTGAAATATCTTCAGGATAATGCATTTTTAAAACTCGAAGTTTATGTTTATACCGGAGAGGCATATTTTAACTGATTGAAATCTGCGATCAATGGAATTTCTATACCGCATTGGGCCATAAACCTCAATTGTTCATTCTTGCATCGTAACAAATCTGTAAAACTTGTAAGAATTAAAAGGACATGTGCGCTCGTTTACCTTTTTGCTTGCCATTATTGATGTCGTAGGTGCTGAGATTTAAGATATGATTATAAAATAACAATCATTTCGATTTAGAAGACATTGAAATTTACTTTCTCTGAGTAAGTTTCCGTGTTGATAGTCGCACTTTTTGTGCAGTATTACGACGGCTTTCTCATTTCATTATTTTTCTCACGCAAATACCTGTTATATCACCTACCATTTCGACCATTAATAAATCGATTTTGTCACAATTTGCTCGCTCCAAAATCAGAATTGAACTTACAGCTACCGATACCAAGAGTGTACTCATTACGTTTAATTACTGGAATTGGGTCCTTAGCAATCCTCTACTCGATGGTGGGTGGCTCCTATTCTTCGCCACTTACCCACTCTATCGTCGAAAAAATTCATGTAAAGGAATGATTTGCCTATATTTTTTCATGGTGCTGGTGTTCTCGGTATTTTTCGTAAAGCTTTATTTTATTGTGCAGTTTGTTTTAAAATCAATGTGATATATTCTAAAGTACCTCCTTCGATGACAATATAAATTACCGGTCACCAACGAATACACAGAATGACGCCTGAACGCTTTGGCGTTTGCAGCAGCACTGTTTCAGTGCTTATTTTCTTTCTACACTCGAGGCTGCCCATCATCCATTTTACGTAATTAGCTTTAAGTAGAAAATTAAGCTTTTGATAGCTGAGTCGAATGATGTTTTAATCGACTCTTACGAGATCTTTGCCATTCAATTTTTATTTTTGAATTTACTTATCAAGAAATTTATCGGAATAATGTAATGTAGGTACTTTTTGAAAAAAAAGAAAAAACATAATAGAGAAAATGCTGCAAAAGATTCGATAAAATAACCAACATATTTCTCGACAAAGGAAAAACGTATTTAATCAATTGTATTCCGTTTGTAGCGAATGCGAGAAAACGAAGCTAGTCTGGGCAGGATGCAACAGCCAGGAGCGAATGCTGAAGAACGCGAGATAGAACGGGAACGAGAGCGCTGGAGCTTGATAAGAGCAGCCCGCGACGAAGCCGACCGCAGCCTCGCTCTCGCGGCGAACCTCGCCGACAAGGAAGCCGCACTGGCTCACGCGCACGCCACTATAAAAGAGGTACGAGCACTTGCTATTCTCGCTTAGCTTCGAATTGAACTCCAACAGCCGCAGATTCTGCCACGCTCGCTGTCTAATTCTGATTTTACGCTGAATTGACGCGCGAGCTTTGAAACGTTGGTGTACCAGCCGGCGTTCTGACCTAGCAAACTTTCAGTGGCTTTACCGCTGCTGATAACTGAAGCACTGCGGCGAATCAGTTGTCAGCTGTGCGAGCGTAAAAACCCGATTGTCCTTCCCTCCCGAAGTCTTGCGAATGTATCCAAGTAGAATAAAGCAGACATAGCAGGGCACGAATTTAAAAGTCCAAACTATTTGTCAATGGAACAGCTGCAACGTCAACTGACCGAGCGCGGCGTCTGCTTGAGCGACCAGGAGTCGCTGGTGTCTTTCCCGCGCGGCAGCGTGAACGGCGCAGCGACTCCGGGCGCGGGAAGCAGCAGCGGCGTATTGCTCGGCCACCTCGGCTCGTCGTCGTCGCAGGCGGCGCACGGCGGCTCGTCCAACGAGCTCGTCGTCGGAAGCGCCGTGCCGCTGAGCGCGAGCAACGCGAATGCGGGTCAAGCCGGGGACAGAGGCAGCTGCAGCGCCGACAGCGGGGTCAGAGGCTCCAGCGACCGAGAGAGCGGCGGGGCAACCAGCATTGGCGGTAATCTGTCGGATTCGACGACCGATGGTGAGTGGATTGCTCTTTACGACGCTTCTTCCTGCCCTCTGATTTTACTCTTCGACTCTCATCCAACCTGGCTTTGCCTAGTGTTTTCTTCGCGACTCAAGAATCGTTCACAATTTCAGTGTCTTACCGAATGATCATATCATGTTTTCAACTTACAATCGGTTCGTTCTACTTTGTTTCATTGAAAACATCATTTGGTAATTGCAAACGACTTTCACTTATCACCGAGCTGTATGCTGTGTAATGTGTTTGCGCTTCCGTTAGGCAAGACAATCGTTCTCCCTTGCCAAATCACGAACAAACACGAAGAAAAAAAAAAGGTTTTCAAGTGCCTTCTGGAGAAATGCATGCGTTTACGTTCACGTGCACAGCTATCATTCTCTCTCCTCTCGAGCTGATTAGTTTGCTCGAACAATAACATAGCCTTTTGGCAATATCATATTGAATTTCGCACGAGAGTATCGTCAGAGAGCGTTCCAACAATGGCACTTCGCGAGCATGTCAAAACGCGCGTACAATACAACATATAGACGAGTACAGTCGCGGCAAAAGGTCTCCAGCGCTTCAATCGGCAATTCCGAGCGAGTAGATCAGAAAAAGAATGGAGCAGAGCAACATAAAGAACGTACACTGACACGCACGCGCACATGTATATTTATAAATCGCGTGCAAATTGCTAAGCCCCTTCTCGTACGTTCGCGTAGACAACACGCGAAGCGTCATGTGAAGGCCAAGTCGCAGACTAAGAAGACAAAAAAAAGTACTCACTCATAACCCACTGTACCCCTCCACTGTATAGCCTATGTATGTCGACCAAGCACGCCGACGATAACCCTCGATGGAAGCAGTCTCGACGTGGACAGCGTCGGCTTGGCGTCGTCAACGGTGGCGCCGCCCCTCATGTACCAATGTAAGTCTTGCTCTCGCGCTTAAAAAACCAAGTCGCAAAGCCATTGCGCGCGAGGGTAAACGTGTGAAAGCCACCGTCAGCTTTATTTCCTCCTTCATTTCCGCTCGGCGAACTTTCGGCTGTTATGGCTAATTGAATGGGGCCACCCCAAAAAGGCCACCTACGAATTTCGCGTTTTCTTTTTCTTTTTTTTTTTTTACTTTCCGCTCGTTCGACCGACACTCAAGTGCATTTTAGATTTGTTAGCTCGCTCGAGAACGAGGATTTCGAACGAGCTCGGAAGTTCGCCGAGCGGGCTGACCTTTATCCTTGCTTCTCGCTGAAAAATTCACTCTCACGCGCGCGTGTATGTGTGCGTGCGTGCCTGCTTCATTTTTTTTTTCTTTTGCCGTGCGTCACAGCTGCCGTGCATGAGCATGCCCATAAAAGTATGAAAACGCGACAGTTCGCGTGGCACGTAAAAGGTGTGTGTGTATGTGTGCTCTTTATGGCGCGCTGCAAAACGTAAAGAGAGAAAGCGAAACAACTTCCTCGTCGCTGTCGTCGTTGTCGTCGTTGTCGTCGTTGTCGTCGTTGTCGTCGTCGTCGTCGTCGTCGTCGTTGTCGTCGTCGTCGTCGTCGTCGTCGTCGTCGTTCGTCGTAGAAACAATAATGAAGTGTAACGATGACTCCATAGATTCGCCTGTTGTGTTCACAGCAACGACACCAAAGGACTGCAGCCCAACGCTGTCGCCACTGAACGCGTTCTCGCGTTCGATGGACAACTCGTCGCTGTCGCGCTCGGTCGAGCAGCTTTCCAGTCCTTTGGACGCCGAGCCAAAGAGGAACAAGCTATTGCTCGGACAGCAGTCCTCGCATCCGACCCCGCTCATACCTCAGACCGTGCACTCGAGGTCTTCCGCTACGAGAGGTGGCACCTGGGGATCTATATCCAGGTAGGTTCTCTTTATTTCAATGCCCTATGCTGCGGTTTACGCTCATCAAAGAGCTTTCATACGCCCGGCACTGTCATCAGCTATCGCGATTTCCGAATCGATCTAACAAGTCACTGGACTCGTTAACTTTTACGCAACTCTAAGTACGTCAGATACTCTATGTGATCGAATTGTTTGTCTACGGATCGCTAACGCAGCTTTTTGCCCGAAGCAACAGGAGCAATCCTCATCCCACGAATCAAACGCTTATTCGTTCATTGAATTAACCATGACATGGATGCCAAATAACGTTGTACCGACAGTGTATGCAAGTAAAACATTCGAAAAAACCAATGCAAATCCGGTAGAATTTGAGCGAATAAAGCGCATTGCGAATCGTCAAAAACGTACACGCAGTCCGAACTCCACTCGGGGCCAGATCGAACGAAGCGCATAGTTCGGGAAGGTGCGACGCCGACGAAAGTCGGGGAACGGCGATACGGAGGAGGCTGCCTCGCTGATGACACAATGCGCGTGCACACAGGGTGTTCGCGCGCTCCCGGCACCGGAAGGCGACGAGCAGTTCCGGCATGTTGACTGGCGGCGCCGGTGGCAGCGAGTCCGCAGCCGAGGCGTTCGATCCCTATCGCTCTTGGTCGCCCCTCACCGAGGAGGGCTACGCCGAGAAGCTGCGACTGCTCAGGGAAGCCGCCTCTGTGCCCATGGAGCGCTGGAGAGCTCCCACTGTTCTGGCTTGGCTCGAGGTCGCGCTTGGCATGCCTCAGTACGGGCCGAAGTGCGCCGAGAACGTCAAGTCCGGCAAGGTCGGTATAGACTCCCGCTCGAGTCAAGTTGAGCGCTGGAAGTGCTCAACGGGCTAGTAGAAGGCTCGCGCTGTGGTCAGACGTCGCGGCACGCTTTCCAGCCGAGAGGCAGCTCGTTCGATCGAGCGTACTCCACGAAAGCGTCGACGCCAACACTCGCGGCTTGTGCTTTTCGCGAGTCGCGGAAAAAACGCTCGTGCACGGGGATGCGATTGGTCTAATTGGCCGCGGAAACAGGTGCTGCTGGAGCTGAGCGACGCAGAACTGGAGGCCGGCCTCGGCGTGACGCACCCGCTGCACCGCAAGAAGCTGCGACTGGCGATCGAGGAGCATCGCCATCCGAACCTCGTGCGCTATCCGTGCATGGCGCAACTGGGTCACACGTGGGTCAGCAGCGAGTGGCTGCCAGACTTGGGGCTGGCCCAGTATGCCGAGAGCTTCGCCACGAACATGGTCGACGCGCGCATGCTCGATCAGCTGAGCAAAAAGGAGCTGGAGAAGTTGCTCGGAGTTACCAGGAAGTTCCATCAGGCCAGCATCGTGCACGGAGTCAATTTGCTTAGAATGATCAACTATGATCGCCAGGTAGGTCTCTGACGTCGGCTGCTTTTCAAAGAAAACCCTTATCGATTTATCGACGGCGCCCACACAGGCACTCGCCGTCAGAAGACACAGTTGTGAAAACGTGGATGCGGACCCCCTTGTCTGGACCAATCAGAGGCTTATTAAGTGGGCGAGGAATATCGATCTCGGTGAATATGCTGATAACTTGAAAGGTAACTTTCCCCCGGCCACTCGCCGACTATACCTACTCGGGCGATAAAGAGCGAGAGCGTCTTTCAATTTTGATGCTCTCTCGGCGTCTTTATTGCACCCTCGTTATACGTGTATCCGCTCGATTTTATACTTGATAAGCCATTACCAAGGGGCCATCTCTTTTCTTATAATAATCAACTCGTGTCTCAAGCCTCGCGACGATTCGGTTTATCAATCCCAGTTCAACTGAAACGAGCTGGCCGACCAAACGTTGCAATGTTCTTGTCAACAGATTCAGGAGTCCACGGGGCCTTGGTGGTCCTCGAACCATCGTTCACAGGCGACACGATGGCGACGGCGCTGGGAATACCACCGGCCAAACACATGATCCGTCGACACTTGACCGCGGAATTCGAGTCCATAATACTGCCGGCAAGGTACGCGGTCTGCCGGAATACCGAAGTCGTCCTCGATAATGCTATTCACTGAGCCGCTGCCCATCACTAGCCAACATTCCTTTCGACGATATCTCCTCCATTCGCAATCTGTTTCTTCGTGTGCAGTAATATCGTCATTCAGTGTGATATCATATACTTTTGCTTATTCTAAAGCCGACGATGTTGCTACAGTGATAACGATGCAAACATATACCATATGAGTGTGCGATTCTCCGAGCACTTTCTTTCGAACGATAGTCGTTCGAGCGATGGGTCGCTCGCAGCCTCTTGCGTCGCATTCGGCGTTTTCTCTCTCTCTCTCTCTCTCTCTCTCTCTCTCTCTCTCGTGTTCGTCGATTTTTGCTCGAAAAAGAGGAAAGAAACTCGAGTTCTTTTCAGAGGCTGAATCCTCGTACGATTCTCGCTGGTAAAACAAAGGGAAGCAAATACGGAATGCCTATAAACTCGAAAAACGAAGGCGCGCAATGGAAATCCCGCCATAGTATAATACAAAAGAAGAAGTAGCGCGACACCGTTGGAGAATCTCCATTTCTCAAAGGGATTTCTTTGCCGCACCTCCGATTCCCTTGTCCGGCGTTCCCTTTTTCTTGTTCAAAACTCAGGCGATCCCCGCGCGCGGCTCGGTTGACCCTCCGTGGCGCGATGGTCGAGGACGGTGACGAGAGACAGCTGCGACGCTCGCGAGAAAGAGAGCAAAAGTCCCAGAACCCGTTCACTCCGCGATCACGACGAGACCACTCGACTGGATATTGATCGCACGCCATGGCGGACGAGCAAAGCCGTATCATTGTTTCGCAGGCTAATGGGTGATCGTATGTCTACCTGCTCTTCGCGCTGAGCGGATTATCGAGCTCGCAGAATTGTCCTGCTTTTTTAATAGATTTCCTCTCCCGCGAGCGCTCGCCGCGTTCGATATTTGCATTCCGTTCTTGCGCCAAATGGCTTTTCTCGTCCTCTATTATGCTCATCGGATACAGGACGACGATCTCAAGCAAATTTTTCATTCCGTTCGCTCCGTGTCTAAAGAAAATACTCACGGTTGAGATAGATATGTTGGCGATCGTCTATTTTTTACATAAGTCAGTGCGATTTATTAAGAAAGCAACTCTAAGCGTTCATGTACTTGCTTCATTGTACGAATGATATATATATATATAAATACTTCGATATGTATTGTTGTATACAAGCGAAACACCAGGACTACACACACGTAGGTACAAACAGTAAAAGAAAACGTCTGCGACGACAATTGATGTACAAGGTCTCCCTCAACGTATATAATGTATGTACATGTACAAAAAGCAAAAGCCAAAACACGCTTAACGACAAAACGGGGAAAATTATGAGATTTACGCTGTGTATATGCAATCAGTCTATATATATCGATACACTATTGCAGTTGATAAGCTCTCTCTCTCTGTCTCTCTCTCTCTCTCCTTCCCTTTCTTTCTCTCTCAGTCGATCGTTCTCGTTTATGGCAATTTACGACTCCTAATAGTCTCGATTCCTCCGGCGAGAGTGTTACAATTCACGCTCACAAGAAAATAGTTGCCATCTATGGTCATTAACGTTACGTCAAATTGAACAGAGCCTTCTGTAAAGATTATATATCGAAACAAGCAGTTGAGAGACAACGCCTTGGTTTGTTCACGATCAGATCTGTATTTCTTATTTTTACTATGATCCGAACAATCAATATAACAAGAACACTCGCTGAGGGTGTCCACACCTACCTGAATAAGTTACACCGACGAAACGTTCGTATTTTTTGTCCAATCCTGACATACACGGCAGAGCTTCGTATATCGGGAAAACGTGATGAAATTGAAAGAAGACGTTTTTAATCTGTCTATGTAAATGTTAAACCAATTTTTGTATATATCTTTTTGTCTCTCTCTCGCTTCGTTACGACTTGTTTCTTATTATGTATATGTATGTATGTATGTACGTAGATATATACATATATGTAATTACGTAGCTTGAGCCATAGCCCACAGCTGCCACAGCCCGCGCTACTGCCTGCACTGCACTTGCGCTATATATTCTGTACAGTACGCACCTCTAATTCTTCTTTCTTCCTCTTCCCTTTTACATCTCTTCCTCTTCCATCTTGTTATTGAATATTTATTATTGATTGAACTAGCCATTAAAAGCCTTGCCGGCTTTTTTGGTCGTTCGAGTGTAATATGCACTCCCTCTTTCCTCAGTTCTATCACTTCCATGTCTCTACTTGGACGTTCCCTTCGGAAAATGCAAGAATAATCTTCCTCTGTCCCAACTTAGAGTCTGTGTGTTTAACTTGGTTATCGATGTTACTTTCCAAAGAATAAAAATAGAAAGCAAAAATCATCGCTCGGCTCTAATGCGTCTCCTGCTAGAACTTATGCGCACACCTCGGCGCTTTATTTATGTGCCACGGCGAGCGGAGAAAAAAGTAGCGGCAGCCGGGAAGTCAGTAAACTTGCAGGGCAAATGAAGATAAAGCGAGGGATGAGGTGGAGCGGAAGGAAGGCACGGCGAGGCATTAGAGCCCAGTAAATATCCATTGTCCTACTGCTCTCTTTCTCTCTCTTATCCATTTTTCCCGTCGATGGAGCACACAATGCTTGCCTATGTATATTTATACATATACATATATATATCTATATATCTATGTTGTGACTAGCTATTCGATATATTTATCTCTACCTAATATACGCCTATTTGCATATGAGCGCGAGTACGTATAATTGGCATACGTTTTTTCCACGCGAACTGCAGCGATTCGCGAATCGTTCCGCGACCTTTGAACAGACGCCAGTCGACGAGGTGCGCTTACCAGAAACCAGTCAATTACTTATCGTATATTTGTAGAGTCAGCGCGCCCGCGACTTCGCAAGTGAACCGGCGATTCGCTGCAGAGCTCGCTTTTGTTATCATCGTTAAACGTGTGTGTATGTCGCGGTGCTTTTCTATATTTATTTTGCTCTGATGGAAGTATTTATATATTATTTCAAGCAACAAGGCGCGCGCGTCCGCGCTGATTTGCCCAATGGATTTGCTCAGTCCCCACGTCGAAATTGAAAACGCGGTGCCCGATTTGATTGTTCGACGCGCGTTATGTCGGCGATTCGAGGGGCCGGTCTAATCCAATGAGCAATGAGAGCACGAAGAAGAAAAAAAAAAGAAGAAAAACGAATTAGGAAGCGACTATTCGCGCAAAAGAAACGAGAGCGCGTGACATGCATGAACCGTAAATATACCTACGCAGAGGTCAGCTGGAGGTGGTGCCACGCAACGGAGGTCCAGCCAGGCCGATGAGCAGCCTCGTGGCCGGGGGCAGCCTTGGGCGTGGGAGTAGGACTCACGCGCAGCAGCAGCAGCAGCAGCCGTCGACTCTGCTCGCTGGACCTATGTACCCCCCACTGAACCAGGGCATCACGACCATCGATCGACGACGCTCCAGTCTCAGGGTAACGTATCGCAAAGTAGTCGATAGTTCTTTTTTCCTCTCTCTCTCGTCATGCTCATGTGTGAGTGCTTTCATTTATCGCATCCTTTCTCTTTCTCGCCTTTCTTTTGCGCTTTCATTGTCGTGCTTCACATGCATTATATCATTATTGCATTGGATGAGTCGAGGGCTTGAAAACGAGTGTCACGGCTGAAAGATAAATCGCGCGGAGCGAGGTTTCATTAACGCTCGCGGAGAATCTTCAAGAAATTGCATTTCTTTATTTTGCTCTAACTCGAGCGATTTACTCGTTCGTATTTTTCCATAAAGAGGCATTCGCTCCTCGTAAATATTCAGATTTACAGCAGTACATCGAGCGAAGCGAGGAGGGAAAAACATCGTTTCCCCAAGATCACGCGGAAATTTGAAGAACGGTTATTTGCGCTCGGGTAACGAGGTGTCTTTTCCAAGCTGCGCTCCATTTGCGCCGCGTAGGTACGATAACGCGGAGGCGGGAAGTAGTTTTCCGTGCTCCGAGAGCGCGACCTTTCCGTCTCGCGACTGCGAATGTCCGTTTTCGTTGAATCTCGGGCGAAATTCGACCGATAACAGCGACAGCGGCATCGCCGAACGGGCACCGAGGTAACTCTCTGAATTCACCGACGGCTGGCTCGCGCGAATCCTCCGATTTGCGGTCACAGAGCTTCGCTCCACGTTTATCCTTGCAGCATTGGAAAATTCGGGCGCTGGGTATTGAGTCGGATACTGATTAACCGCAGGCAGCGTTATCGAGTACCCATGGGCGGGTCATAAGAGCTTAAAGCCCTCGGCACATCTGTGCGAAAGGTGAGGCAGTGCATACATATATTCAAAGGGGCTTTCTCTCTCTCTCTCTCTCTCTCTCTCTCTCTCTCTCTCGCTCGATCGGTCGGTCTCCGGGCGGATGCGTCGTTGCTGCGTTGTTGTTTTGGGCATATCTCCGCGGGGGATTAAGCCTCCGCTGCTCTGGTTCTGTGCATGTGCTAATTTTATAGCTTCGCGTGATAACGAGTTTGCCGTCGCGCAATCCCGACTTGTCATGCCTGCGCGAAACTTTGCGCGGCAACGAGGAACAGCCGCTCGGACGGGGCGCGACTCGAAGAGGCACATATCCTTTTCGCATATCATTGCGCGAAAGCGAGAGAACGAGAGTGTTGCGTACGCGTCACGCATACGCGCAGGCAAATGTCACGCGTGCTTCACTTTAGCGTGGCATCTTTGTACATCACTCGGATCAATTCCGACTCCGCGACACGACGCCGAACAGGTCGATTTGGCTCGACGCGAATCATAGCTCTTCCATTCGTAGCCGCGTTCGTCTCCGAACTCTCGCAAGTGGATTTCTCCGATGCGCTTTTTGTACATATAGACGTCGATGCAGCGCGGAATGTCCTTTGTATCTTTCCTTTGTGCTTTCGTCCATTCGCGGATGTAGTCGAGTGTCTTGAGTTGTTGCTTCGGCGAGCGAATGAAACGACGCTCTGCCAGTTGACGGCTTAAAGCATCACCGAGTTTTTCCTTGAACGGCATCGATGTAGAAGCGAGCGTCGGTGTGACGAATAATCGAAATACACACACACACACACACACACACATCAGAGCGACAAGCGCACACAATATACCTCTCTTTGTCATATCATCCATTACGCTCCTTGCGGTTAATTTGGAAAGTCTTCAGCCCTGCGCATACAAGTGCGACCGCGCCAGGCAAATAACGACGAGAATCAAACAGATATCAAGGTGTGTTCGCGGAATATAATCGAGTGTTTTTTTGTACGAACTTTTGTAATTAATGTATATCGCTATGTGTTTTCTCGAGCGAGCATACGTTTTCAATATAGAGCATCGTACGCATCGAGATTTTATGTAGAGGCAAATTTACATTATCAGTAGCATTAGAACGGTGGGGCAGGACAAAGTAAACAATAATAAAGGAGTTAAATACAAGCGGCTCGCCGAATACGGAGCTTCGACAATTAATAACAATTGAAAGACTGATAGAAAACAAATAAACGTAGGCTTCTGCAAACGCTCAGCTCCGTTGGGCTTTGGCCCTCTAACTTTCCGAGCTTCTCGAGCTTCGCAAGTCTTTGGAACGACTTGTAATCCTTTTGAATCGTTCGACCATTCGAGTTGCGTCTTGTGTTCGATATTTTCTTTTTCAAGTCATTCGACCGCTGTAGATATTTAAAACTTTCGATTCCCCGTTGTCGCGCGAGCTTTTGCAGAATTCTACGGTGAAAGGTATCAATTATGTGCCATTCTTTGCAAGGATGGCCGAACCACACGTACTTAATAGATATATTCTACGAGAAGCGCTACAACTGTGTATTTAGATAAAGCAAATAGTAGATACATGAATTTTTCCATTCTCGTGCGAAGAAACAACGGCAAGCTAAATGGCAAAGAAACTTTTGTATATAACTGTTTTTCAATTTTCAAGTGTATTACGAAATGTCCTCTATCCTTGGCTATTTATAAACGAGAAACAGTGACGAGGACAAAACTGAATAAACCCAGCTACGAGCAGCATAAGGTATATACGAGAGCGGCGATATTGCACATCGGCTTAGTATCGATCGTCCCGCGATATAATAAACGCTTTCAGCGACGGATAACGAAGGGAGCCAATAAATGCAAGAGAATAATGTAAATATATATAATGTGATTTCAATGTCAAAAACTGAGGCCTGTTGATTCTTTCTTTACATCCCTCCCACGACTATACTACATATTTTCTTGTTATGCCATTGACACGACGTCCGCTCTCTTTTCTCATTTATTCATTTGTTGCGAGAAGGAGTTTCCAAAGGTATGCCATATACATATTTTTATACGTTCCGCCCGTACCATTCGTGTCATTCGTTATATCATGCATGCTCATCGAAATGTTTTCAAGTACGCGTTATGCTCTTTTTCACGAAAAGGAAGCGAAGATGATCACTACTATCGCGATTATTTTTAATTAACGATTTCAAAAGTGCGACTAGCTATTTTTAACGCTCGGCAAACTCCTGATGTGGATTTATAAAGAGCGAGCATTTTCTTTTCTTTTTGCTGTCATTTTATTGACCGTGCATTTTAACTATGTCATTATCCATATTTCATGGTGTGGTTATTTTCATGCGCTCGCAAACATTATTTATAGCATGTGTAATCATGTAAATTACCTTTAACGGTAGACCATTAAACAATGATGAAAATCATAGCGTGTAGTAACATTTGCTTGTAAATTATGATAAATAGTAAGAATACAAGTTTTCCGAATCAGTTTTCCTGTGCTCGGTAACGTTTTTATTAATATTCTTCCATTTGCGAAATTTCGTGGAAATTTATTTTGAGAACATATTTAGTATCAGTTTAGGAATCGGCATTGTATTCCAGTTTTCAATTTTTTACTTTATTTCTTTTGTATGATTAATACGTGTTTGATTATATGTTGTGCAATGAATGAGTATATCATTTGAAACAAATGGGAGCAGTAATATTTTTTTATTAATTAACCCGGAAGCTTTTAATTTATTAAAACCTTTGAAATGGATTTTAAATTGACACGCGTACCTTGTCTAATGCGGTCGCGACAATGCACCAATCAAAAATATTGCTGCTGCTGCTGCTGCTGCTGCTGCTGCTGCTGCTGCTGCTGCTACTCTCGAGGTACTGTTGTGACAATGAACGAATGTTCGTTTTGCAGTAGCAGCAAATCCAATAGTCGCGGAGCATCGCATTCGCTGCAACGGAATATAATCGACGATCGCGCCGGGGCAGTACGTAACATTAACATTCTGACAACTTTGCAGGGATCCCTGAGTAGAGCTTTAGGTCTGCGGCCCCGCAGCGAGAAGGCCTCGCCGTCATCGTCGTCGGACACGGGCAGCCACGCCAGTCAGACCTACATGAGCAGCTTGCACGGGAACTCGCCGCCGCCGCCGCAGCTGCCGCCGCGACCGGCCACGATATCCGGCAGCACGAAGCGCCACCGGCGCGTCAAGAGCATCGGCGACATCGACTACGCGAGCAACGCGGTCGTGAGCACGCCGGTCTGACAAGAAGCCAGGCCCCAGCCTTCGGGCCACTCGGGGCCTTACCGCAGCCTGAGCGAGCGCGGCTACTCCTCGTCGTCGTCCACCTACTACGGTTCTTATTACGGCAACGCCAGCCAGCCGGATTACTACCAGTACCAGTCGCCGGTCAGCAGCTACTACCAGCTGCAGACCGGCTACTACTCGCCACAGAGCTCCGATCGCGGCTTTCCAGGTGTGCAGAGGTACGGCAGTCTCGCCGAGGAGGCTTGGCCGGCGTCCGCCAAGGACGAGCCCGCGTCGCAGCCTGCCAGCTTCAAGATCGACCGAGTTATCTGAGTTGGCTCGGCACGGTTCACCGGGAGCACCGCGCTGCGATGCCAATTTATCGACTAGAGGGAGGCAGCGTTCCCGACTGCGACAGTCGTATTTCGCGACTCGCAGCACTTTGGCCGCGAGCCGTGCAAACAAATGATCGTTTGTTCATCTCGAATAAAGTCTGACGCAATCTCTTCCTGTTGAAAACAAACGAAAATGAGTCTTCGCAAGCGCGCAACGTCCGTTGCACGTCCTACTGCAAATGGGCACATTTTTTTAAATATTGTACATAAAGGTATGCGCTTTTCGAAGCATTGCATTTTTTAGCGTGCACGATAACTCTTATGTCCGTATCGTGTAAAGGCATTACATAATTTATCGTCTAGTATTTACTGTAGTCTTGTCTTTGTCGAGAAAGATCGCTTGCTTCCACGGAAATTATCTATTCGGATGCGTATCTGAATACATTTAAAAAATAGGAAGAGCAAGCGAAAGCGGGCGGTTGAGCGGTTTGTATTGGCCGTGAGAACGCAATTATTACCGATGAACCGATGAAGCTGATAAACGCATTTTAAATGTAATGGAAGAAAAGATAATATTTAACATGAAAAGATAATATGTAACATGTAACGAGATCCGTGCAACAATTGGAGAGTGCTTAAATTTTATTGTACGATGCTGCCAGTAAAAACAATCTATGTAATTAAAAAACATACCAAGTATTAAATGTGCCGAAAAGACGATCGCTTTGTCGTCTTCATTAATGTGCTCCAGAAAAAAGGAAACGCTTCCAAATGAAACGTATGTGTGTATTGTTGCATTTTGATTGTATATGAATTCTTTAAAAAGACTGTATTTTAGCACTTAATTATTCAACACTGTGTAAAACCAAAAATCGCAAATATATACAGGTTGTAATTGATTACTCACGGCAGCTTGCATAAATTAAAAATTGATGAATTTACGAAGTAATATATAAAAAGTGATATACCGGTATCACGCGATTGAAGCTTAGCAATCGGCGCAAATCGAAACAAATTAGATTGTATTGCGCGATTGTATTAGCTGAACGCGATTTCTCGTTACCGGGAATTAGATGCGATATAAAATGGAAAAAAAATCAAGGCAATGAAACATTGCGAAACAACAATTAGTGTACGAAGAAACAAAATTTTCTCGCTCATTGATGTCGTTTTATATGGGCTAAAACGACTAGTCAAATGTATAATTTCAACGCCATGTAATACGTACATACCTTCGTGTAAGTCGAGTCATTTTGTCATTTTATTTATTTTCCAATGAATTCTTATATTGTAAGTCTTGTATTTGTACATTATACAGACGTAAGTGATATTATAGAAAAAGAGATATTATATGAAAAAACTAATATAACTGTATCACACATGAATATATCAGAAAAAAGGTTCCGAGATTGTCAACTATGTTAATAATTAAAGAAATTATTGGTCTATTGTGTGCAGGTAATGACCAACGAGTGTATAAACATTGTGAATGCGTATTGGCAAAATCAGGATGTGTATGTTTATGTAAATATTGTGCTTTGTGCACGATGTCCAAGCTATCATGAAAATAAATTGATTGCCTTCAACTCGTTGCGTTTTTCTTGCTTCCTGCAATTTTATTTCGTTAAGCTTGTAATTGGATTGATTTTTGATCATTAATAAGTCTGATAAAAATAAAAATAAAAAGATTAATTTTTCATTTCGATAGATGATCAATAAAGCTCACGTCGAATTCATCGAATAAGAGCTTCAGCCTTGGTATCCGTCAGATGGCAGCTCCATGTACTTCCGGATGGCACTCTCTTCCAATCGTGACGTGTTTTCGAGACACGTCGCATGTTGCGGGCTTGCTACGCCGCTTTAGGAAGTCTCATTGCGCATGCGCTAAGCTCGTTTTGCCACTTGTCAGGCTCAGCTGAAACTGTTCATCTGATTGCAACGCGTGCTCCTTTCTTTTCGCTGAAAACTTTGCAAATCTATTGAGATGTCTGGAAAATCAAAGGCTTTTACCAAGGAAGAGGAGCTGCTGCTCCAAGATTTCTCCAGGAACGTTTCTACTAAGTCGTCAGCCCTTTTCTACGGCAATGCCCTTATTGTATCGGCCATTCCCATCTGTAAGTACAATTTACGTTATTCTACTTGAAAATTTTCAGTAGTTTCCAAAATAATAAAGTTAAATTACTATTTTTATGATCTCCTAGACGAGTTAGTCAATACGTTTCAGTCATGTATTTCAACTTTTTTTCTATTGGAACTGAGGTTAGCTTTTTGTAACTTATTGTTAATGTTTGTGAGATAACATATGTTTCTTCTATTTTTCTATTATATGTATAATATATAATACTGCGGAGTTCATTTATTAAAAAAAAATCGTTTTAAAACACGAAATAGTTATGAGCAGGATCCATGAAATATTGTAATTTTCTTTTACATAAAAAATACTGATTGCAGGGCTTTTCTGGAGGATTCACTTAATTGATCTTTACTCAAATTTGATCTCTTTTGCTCTCATTACTCTTCTCAGTACGTACGCATTGGCATTTGCCTACAAAAACACAAAATATGTTCTTAAGCACAAGGTATGCATTCATTCAAACTGAGCATTTGTATTGACATTAATTAAACCAACACTTTTTCCTACAGTATCTTAAGTATAAACACTATGGAGTTTTAATCAAAATATTTACAGATTGCTGTTAAGAGAGAAGATGCTGTTACTAGGGAAATGAGCCACAAACTTGCTGGAGACAAGAAAATGGGCCGTAAAGAGAAAGATGAGAGGTAATTTAAATCCCAACTATTGAAGATTTGTCACTTAAGTTATTTGATGTTATAAACTTATTTGAATATTTTTTGTAAAGCTCCACATTAATATCTTCAACAATACTATAAAAAATATACACATAACTCATATCTTCATCACATACGAAATAGTCTTATTTTTCAATGGTTTTTCAGGATTCTGTGGAAAAAGAACGAAGTAGCTGACTATGAAGCAACTACTTTCTCAATCTTCTACAACAATGCTCTGTTTCTTGCTTTCGTCATCATCTGTTCATTCTATGTTCTGAAAACATTCTCGCCAGCTGTTAACTACATTTTCTCTGTCGGTACCGCAAGTGCTCTTCTCGCTTTGCTGTCCACTGGCTCTCAGTAAATGCCTTCTAGTTCGTTGTCACTCATTCCTGATTGCAAGATGTTTTTGTTAAGTTATTCCGTGATAAGACTTTGTTCGCTCAAATTTTTTTATTGAGTGAATCTTTTTATACAAATATATAACTAGGTGAGAAATGAAAATAAAAATTTATTTATAGTACAATTACAATCATATTGTTTAATTTATCCTTTAAGTAACTTTATCTTTCAAATGAGAAACGATCGTGCATGGATGCTGACAAGTGATTTACATTGAAAACAAAAACACAGAATGACATAATTCTCGAAATTTGGTATAAAATACAAATTGTTGCTTCACGTAAAGACTTGGCAAAGATGAATATTGTCTTGGCACGGAGAAAAATGGCAAGTACGTCTGCACAGCAGCGCAAAATTTCTCATTCCCGGACAAGCCATGAATAGCTAGTCCTCAATACGAGTGAACCTTCATGAGGTTCGTCGGAAGCATTTGCGTCTCGGAACAATAAATTTGGCAGAAAACCAGTGGCGCGCGAGTGAGGCGAACGTTATATACATTATCCACCACCCAAAAACGTTATATACATTAAATTTTCTGTGCCAGAAGCAACAAATGATTGATAGATTATCGCGTGATGTTGTATTATTGATTTTGAGGATGGTTTGCATTGCTTCGTCTGTCAAAGATGAATATGTTTAAATGCTTATTTCTGTACCCTTGAATCACATTTTACTTTCGTAATATGCTAGTATCTATCAGAGTATTAATTTTAGAGATTGAAATCGCTCGTTTTATCGTGTGTTTTCTTACAAGTTTAAATTCTTAGAGCAAAATATTATGTTATTTAAGTTTCAGCAATAACGTTCATACGTTTTGTGCATTAACGTGAACAACCATAACATTATTTGCTTTCCGATTAAAAAATTATATCGATGCTCATAAAAACACTTCGAAATGTAGGTTTAGCTGATTTTGCAAATAAAACACGAGAAAATGTTAATAATCGAAGAAATCGAAATAGGATTAACTACGATTGAATTAACATATTTATTTAGATTTTTACATTCAAAAAATGCGAATGAGTTTTTTTACGTAGAGGCGGTCGCTTTATAATGAAGTCAGGGAGAATGACCAATCAAAATAGTTATCTATTTGTATATTCGTTAAATGACCTTTTTGGAGTGCAAGTGAAGGAAGAAGGACGACTGCGGAAGGATCCTGTATAGTAAGTAGCCCGGCGTTCAGCCGGTTGCTATGGGTTAATCCTCTTGTCTGTCATTAAAAGTAATACGAAAAAACGTTTAAATCTCCTAGTAGGGTGCTTAAGCTGCATCTAATAATTGAATAACTTTTATCGCACTTATTACAACAAAGTATACGCATGATAACACATACACTGTGTTTGTGACTCAATTAATAAACTTTAAAAATTGAACATTTACGTGCTATAGAACGATCGAATAACTTCAAAAATTTAAATAGGGCATGCAATTTAAATGGATGAACAACTATTGAAACTATGGATGAACTAATTACTGAAAAGCTTATATTGGTTGGTTTGAATACCTTGAAAGCTCGAATTTTTGTAGAAGCCTAAAAATTTGGTAGAAAGTTATGAACTCTATTCAAAGTGAAGAAGTGATTACTATTTCTAGAGATTATATACAAAAATATAAATATTTGAATACAATTTCCAGATAATAATAATTATTAACGTATTGACTGATTTACTTTTTAAATAAATGCGAACAATAGTCATAATATTCCTTAGTTATTTATATTGTAACAAATGAATTATAATAAGTGGTTTTAATGGTTCGACAGTTTTAGCTGTAGCATGTCGAGAAGAAATTTGCTAATTGTGGCACGTTCAATATAGTAATTTCACATTTTATGTAATTTTTATGCTCCACACTTGTATTTTATGTGTTATTATTGGCTAAATTAAATAATTTATTAATGAATTGATTAATTTATAAATAGGCTATTTATAACATTCTGAGTGTTCATGTTTGGTTCAATGGGTACTTTTTTACACTTATATTAGTTTCGACGGCGAGATAAAAAATTCGCAATCAATATTTGTTGTTGATATAAAGATAAAGAGTATGACTTTCATAATATGATTTGCACTAATATCCAGACGAGGAATATCATTAATGATGATTAATTGCGGCCCATGTTATTTAACAGTTGGTACAATAGTATTACTGAATTTCGGAAGATTGAGTAGGGCAAGCTTGCTAAAAACAGACATTCGCGAATTGTTATCGATAAAATATACTAATATTTTATCACTTATGATACTTCGATAAAAATAGCATATGTTATGAAAGAGGAAAAAGTTGCGGTATTTTGCCGATTCGATGATGCACTTTAGCGACTGGCCAGCCGCCAGTTAAGTTGTGTACGCGCGTGTCCACGCGCTCGTCTCTTATAATTCTCACTTTGTCGGAAAGTTCTGGCATTCGGTCAATGCTTCTGCAGCGCGCGAGACCGCGAAATCGGCTGGAAGGGAAAGCTGGCGCTCTCTCTCTCTCTCTGATCTGCTTTTGCCTTTTGCTCGACGCAAATGACGAAATACATATATAGCTCTCGCTCGACTAATGTTATGCGACCTGTCGGAACTGTCTGTTACTTTTTGCTCAAAGTGATTAACTATTACCACGGGGAGACGGTTTGTTACTTTTTGTGTCCTATTTGATGCGTGTTTCCGTTATTTCGCAATCGCTCTAGGCTCTTATTGTTCCAGCTGCTTTGAAATTTAGTCTCCCTGTAGTTTTTGAGTGAACAATAAAAATACTGTAGCGATGAGGATTTGTAGCCGAGTGTCTTCGTTTACAATGAAACATTGCAAGGTGTAACAAGAGCGTAAGAGCTACGGAAGTTCCAGCAAATCGCAGGTCGGTCGGAACTCGCGTGAAGTGTCCCGAGACGAGAGCGTCAAGCCGAACTCGGAGCGGCCGGCAGTGCCGCGCCCGCGAAAAGAGCGTGGGCGGACAAAAGAGCGAATACGAGCTCGGGGCGATCGGTCGCAGCGGCGAGCACGGCGGCCGAAATTCAATCCCCCCTGGGCGCGCGGCGCTCGTATATAGCCGATCGAGAAGAGCGGCTCGCTCGCGTGGGCGTCCGGGACGCGGCAAGCGTCCGCGCGTCCAGACTTTACTGTCGCTTGCAGCTGCGGCTCGGCGAGCGCATGGAGAAGCTCCCTCGCGGGCCTCCGTGCTATTTCCGTGCTGCGGGGCACGGATACCTTGGGCGTCGTTCCGCGGAGGAATCGGGTAAGCGGGTATAAGCCGTTCTCGCTATTTTCCGACGCGCGTACGAGCGCGTATATAGCCCATTGTTTGCAGGCCCGCGGGAGCGCGCTCACCCGCGCTGACTCGGCGGCGCGGACCGAAATAGAGCCGGCTGCAGGCTGGAGATAGCGCCGCTGGATAATCACGGCTATGAGAGATTGCCCACTTCGCCTCGGAGCAATCGCGCGCGTGCAGCGTCCGATCTCACGCGCGATCGTTTCATCGGGCGATTTCCATGAGCCGCCCGTCGCCTCTCTGCGCGCGAAGCCAAAGAGCTTCATTGCGGCGCGTCGACGAGGTTGCGAGAGCGTTGCGATCCGCAATTCTCGAAAACAAGCCTCTGCGCTGTTCGATTGGGAAAGCGATTCGGCTCGAGCGCTTTCGGGAGCTCTCGCCTTGTCCTTGTTCACCTTGCTTCGTTTCGTTGGATGTGTCTGCAGCGCGCAATATTTCGCTCTGAAAGCAGCTCTCTCTGCGAAGCCGATGAGTCTAAGGCGATTGGTCGTTGGCTCGAACGCAAATTAGCTCCTTCGGAGCAACGAAATCCTGAAAACGTGCCTGCGTTGCGCGTGGTATGTGTGCAAGGTATGACCTCATACAACATACAACAGAGAGTTACGAAGATGTACCAATTGGAGTTCTCCAAGGAACAATTTTCAGTGCTCTTCTTTATTTTATATGCAAATGATCATTTAGGTAATCTTACTATTAGCACATACAAATGATACTAGCATGACTTTCGATGATGACAGCTAATCAAAAGCAATTGATGAGATGAATGTATGCCTAGATAACGTAGCTAAGTGGCATATAACGAATAAATTAACGTTGAATCTTGATAAAACTGGTTTGTTAACTGTTGTAAGTTGCAGATATAGCGTACCCAGTCATGCAGCGATTAACGTAGAATTGTAACTCGGAAAGGAGTTTACTATACAACCTTTATCCATTACAAAACTTACGAGATAAAAGAGAGAAAGAGAGAAGAGTTCTAATTTTTTAATTCCAAGTTTCGAAACAAAATTACTCAGCCGGGCCTCAGAGAATCGAATTAGTAAAATTGAATCAGCCACGCCAATAGCGCCGATAAATAATCAGAGTAAAAAATATCTGGAAAAAGCTGTAAGATCCAACGGCGACTTATCATGGATTGCGAGCAAAAGAGAGAAAGGCCGTTTCCTGAAAACTGTAAAAACGAGTTGGCCGCTACATCGTAATAATAACCACAGCAATTTCGTAAAAAGCGCCAAGCTTCGCGAAGAAAGACTGTGAGATAGAGAGAGAGAGGGGGGGGGGGAGTCGAAAGCTCGGACGCCCTCTCGAGCTTGGTCGGTCGGACTATCCCAGAATAGCTGCGTATCCATTGGCTGGAGTGGCGCAAGCGGCTATATCGCCGCGGCGCCGATATTACGTCGCTTCCAAGCGCCGCGAAGCTTCAGTTTTTCGTGTGACACACGCGGCTCGTTGTTTGTGATTGTGCGCCATCGAGAGAAGTGTGATCCTCGCCCTTGTAAACTCGTAAACTAACTGTTAAATAAAAAAAACACACACAGCCAAGATGGTATGTCATATTCAAGATGATCTTGTAAGTCGTCGCCCTGGTAAACGAACAGAAATCACTTTTCTTTTTTAATTTTTTCTATCTCTCTCGTCGTTTAATACCATTAATTTTTCTCGGTGTCTCTATGTCTACTGGCTAATTCGCAACCCCCAGCCTTCAGCTCATCAGCGTTATAACGGATCTTCTGTGTCTCTTATCTATCTTTGCTATGGTTTAACGTGAAGTGACTTTTATTTTGTAATTTTTTCCATTTACACGTGCGCTCGGCTATTCTTTGTTTTCACAAGTAACTACAATGCAGAGTCTCTATGTTCACCTCTGCTGGAAGGAAGCTAACGGTCACTCGTTCACGCCAATGGCTTTTGCTAAATGTGACGTAGCTCGGTTTTGTGAAAGCAAGGTATTTTTCCGTTGCCACGACTAGATTAGTGCAAAAATGCACAAAGTGGTCAACAGGTTCTACACTCTTTCGCTCTGTCGCAAGTTGTTACTTTACTCTCAGCTCCGCAGCTGATTTCATCTTGGGAGGCGCGTATTTACGCGAACGAGCAATTTTTCAGTTGCACATACGTAAACCTTCAAGTGCGCGGCAGTGTTTTCGTCGCTTTGGCGCGCGATACGCCTGACCGCATTCGGGACTTTACTACTTTGTGAAATCGCGCGAGCTGGATTGAAGTAAACATACGTTGCAGTTCGATTTTCAAAGGTTTATTTTGATAAGCTAAGCACACGATCGCGTTAAATCTCGAACTGGTGCGTTTGTTTACACAATGAAGAACTGCTTATTACTTTCAATTCTTTGGTAGCGATGTTTTTACCGAGTTTGTGTACTTTCTCAATGGGTTTGTCAAAATTATATATTCTAGGAATTGCTACGACTTATTTGTTGTAATAATTTTGAATTATGAATGAGTAATATCGATGTTTCCTTAAATAATGACGCATGCAATATATGGAAATAATTGGCTGTAACTTTTCTATGGAGTGTAAACTTTAAAATATTGATGATATTAATTCACACGTAAATGTCTCTCTTTCTTACAAACTTCAACTTTTCTAAATTTGTCAAGTGCATGCGTGATGTGTGAAATGCATTTGGCGGGAGCATATATCTTTACAATACTTATACAAGAAATTTTTTTTTTCAATTATTTTTTGCCAATTCTAAGCAAAAAGTGACATTTTTTAACATTTTTCTCTTTATGTTCTCCTCCCAATAGGCCGACGAGCTGCCACCAGAGCAGATCGCTGGTGAGTAAACATGCGTTAACCAAACTTCATCGAACGAAATTTTGCTGATCGAATTTACGCGAAAATAATTGAAATTGAAAAGCGAGTCTCACCTTTAGTAATTAGTTATTCGATACTTATAACTCTTGAAATAAATTTTGCTCTTGGGCATATCGTATTTATTTGGCCATAAGTCAAATGTTCGTTGCCGATGTAAAACTTGGCGCAATTAAACAATCTGTCGAACTATTTAAAGCGACAACATGCGTAAATCAAAAACACGAAGTCAAGTATTACTGTGCTAGTTAAAATTTTCATTCTCTCTCTCTCTCCTTTGTTTTCTTTCTTTTCTTCAAAATAGACTCTTAACGAAGAAGAAAAAAACGACTGGTTTCCTACGGCGAAGTATATAGAATGAGAGAATGAGAGGGAAACAGGTCACACAAGCCCTTAGTTTCTCGTCGTCGGCACTAAATTTAGCGAATCTGCTTTCCACGTCTGGCGTTCGCGCCTCAAAGCCCATTTACGTGTTCCGGAAGAGCAAGCTAGCGAGAGAGAGAGAGAGAGAGAGAGAGAGAGATAGCGGGCACAACTATCTTTAGTCCTTCGCGTTCGGCTTCGTGTTAACTTTTCCTCCCGCAGCTTATTCTCCTGCCCGAGCGCGTTTTTCGGAGGAATTACGAAAGCTCGGGACAATTTATAGAATGGAAAATCCGATGCCGGAGGGTAAAGTTCGTTGGGAGCGTAGCGCGGAAAAAAAGAAACACGTCGGATAATGGCATGTAGAAGTCACAAGAGCCGACTGGTCGTGTAAATCATTTTTCAATCGACACTCAAAACTATACATAGCGATCGCAAAAATAGCCGCGACCCGAGAGCGAAACAGCCGCCGAAAGCAGTTAGATTCGTCGGAGAAAAAAAAAAAAGAAAAAAGGTGGACGTGCGTCGCCTCGCACGCCGATGCGCCAGTAGTGCCTTTCGATTCGTCAATACTTAACCTTGGACACTATAGTCTTCGTCAAAGCCCTTCGGTACACGAGAAAAGGGAAAGAAAAAGCGAGCACGAAGCTGGAAAAGAGGCAGGGAGCTTGCCAAATTTTCGCAGAGTGCCAAGTCGAGCGATCAATCTGGGCACCCACGCAAATCTGAATTTGCGCTCTCACTCTTTCCTTTGGAGGAGAGGGGACGGGGGGAGGGAGGAGTTTATTTACGTTTGATTTAATCAGTCCGCGTTGCCGCAGACCCAACTAAGTTTAGAAGCTCGGGTTCTATCTCCGCACGTCGCTCTGGATATCAAATAACAAAATCTCTCGTATTTTAAATGCTGAAACTCTTATTATATTCCGCTTTCGTTCGTCAGCTGTATTTTCATTCGCGTGGCATTTATTTGATTTTCTGGCAGTAATTTTGCCAAATTGCTCGCTGATCCTCGCCGTCCAGTTGTTAAGTTGCTTTTCTTGGTAAGCCCACGGCAGAAAAATCGGCTCGATAGCGAGCTTCCCGCCCGACGATTACACGAGCGCCGAAATATAAGATCGCTACGATCGCTGGACCACGAGCGGTCACTGCCGCATTGTACTTCGGAATGCCGCCGTTGCGGCAAAGCGGAAATCTATTTGCTTTAGCGCCGGATCAAGCCCGAACAGCTCGAATTAAAACTAAACATTCCAATGATCGCGCGCGCGCTTAATCCGAGAGCGCGCATGGGCTGCGGCATAATCGAGCAAACGGCGTTTCCTGCGGAGAGCGCGTAACGTCGCGCTGACCTAGAATTGCCGTGCGCCTATCCGTCGCGCGACCGCAAATAGCTCCTGCTGTCGAACAGTCCGAACTCTCGCTGCGCCGCAGCGATAAATAATAAAGCAGCGGCGGCAGCATCGGCCTGGTCGGATAAGAAGGGGGTAGGGAAAATGAAAAAAAGAAAACGAGCAGCCGGCGAGTTGACTTTCGGCGAGGCGCCTCGCTCGCGCCAAGTAAGCTTCGCGCTAGAAAATCTCGTCTGTGCGCGCCGACGGGAAGGGCATTAACATTGCCGGGATCTAAATCGGACGCCGCCCGCTTCTGCTTGCGTCGCGTTCTTTTTCACGCGCATCTCGCGCAAAACCGCCTCGCGCTATTTTCGAAATTCGCGATGACGCGGCCGTTATGGTACCGGAGTCGGGGAGAGGAGCCGGCATTATTCTCGTGACGCGCGAGGCATCGAATCGACGACAACGACGACGACGACGACGAATGATCGAGTTTGACAAGGCGTTGTTTACGAGAGATCGGTTTCGGTGGACATGAATGACTCGACTTATAGCAAAGCCTCGTTGACGCGCATTATAATTAAAAGAATAATGGGCGAGCGAATGCAAATAGAACTGCAGCAGGCCAAAAGTGGCTATAAATAAGCCGGCCGATCGGATAAACGATGATAAGCAAAAGAGGCAATAAAATGCGATGGCGCACAATTGAACAGGTAGTATTAGTTGTCGGCGAGACGACGCGTCAATCAGCAGAGCTCGTCGATCAACGCACGTCAGCGGACGAGCGAAGCAGTCGCGATCAGTCTTTTTTGGAGCATATAATGTCGGCCGTTGACATTTCAGTGCTGCGCAAGGCTTTCGACAGCTTCGACAGAGAAAAGAGCGGAAGCATACCCACCGACATGGTCGCCGACATTCTCAGACTCATGGGCCAGCCGTTCAACAAGAAAATCCTGGACGAGCTCATCGAGGAGGTTGATGCCGACAGTAAGTTTTGTTCATTGAATAATGGGCGTCGACGCGACAGATGTGCCGGCTGTGGTGGGAACTGACGATGCGTTCTTGCCTGAAACAGAATCGGGCCGCCTCGAGTTCGACGAGTTCGTGACGCTCGCTGCCAAATTCATCGTTGAGGAGGACGCGGAGGCACTCGAAAAGGAGCTGCGCGAAGCTTTCCGGCTTTACGACAAAGAAGGTAATTTAACGTCGGATTGTTGCCTTGCCAATTGCCACCGCTCTACGGCAATCGCAACCTCGAGCTGTCCGACGGCTTGGAGAACGGCCCGGCGATCGTTGACCGAGCGAGCGTTGCGCGAATTTTTAATTGTGAATGCACAACAGGAAACGGATACATCCCGACCACGTGCCTGCGCGAGATCCTGAGGGAGCTCGACGACCAGCTCACGGACGAGGAGCTCGACATCATGATCGAGGAGATCGACTCTGACGGCTCTGGCACCGTGGACTTCGACGGTAAGCACCTATCGATTAATCACCGCGCGCTTCTCCGACGCCGGCGTCGCTTAATCCCGGCGAAAACTTGCGCCTCGCGGGCGCATTAATTTTCGGCCGCTTGAATGCGCCGCGCGCCTTCGACCCAGAAACCACGCCGCGCCGCTATTTTCGAGCGCTTTGATTTAATGCGAGGGATAAATATGACATGCAATATGGGAATCGGTGCTGAGTCGAGCTGGCACACATTAATTCATGCCTCTTCGAGCTGTCGCCTCGCTCACTCGAGGATCGGTTCCGTCAAAACCACTCGGTTGTTCGGACGTCTCTCGCGTCTCGCGCTTCCCAACCGGTCTACTTTTCTATTTGGCGGTATCAAACTTTCCTTTTAAATTTCTTGCCAGCGGTAGCGAGCATAGCATTTTTCGGTGGTCTGATCGCCGACGCAACCTAGATACCATCGAATGATTTAACGGATGCCTGTCTTTCCGATTTTCAAACGAAATAATCGTGCGGCCCCACGCGCGTATTCGATATGATTTAGTGCCGCTAGTATGCAGCTGTTGAATTGACGACAGATGAAAAATATATCGACTTGCAGTTTACTGTTCGCTCGATAGTCAAATAATTTTGCAACCAAACTCCTAAGATCATTTTATTATTTATAAGATTTATCGCCGTACTCAAACATTATAACAAGATGCGTACTCTTCAATCATAAGAAAAAATCAAAGGAAAATAATGCTCAACTAATCCTACTTGCAATTGTTTCGTTACAGAATTCATGGAGATGATGACCGGAGAATAAATTTTTATCGATCAATCCGACGTTTTTCGACGAAAGGCCAAGAAAAAGCTAATAAAAAAGTATCAGTAACTTGGGGGAGGCGCAGTATCGCTCCTCCGATATACAAGCGCTTTTGCAGAGGCTCGACGCGAAAAAAGAATAAAAAAAAAAGAAAAATACATGGCCAGTTCTAATTGTATACGCGACGTAGCGTCTCTAGAACGTCGATTTTCTCATCTTCGGCCGCTGCATACAGCTGCTCTCTCTCTCTCTCTCTCTCTCTCTCTCTCTCCTTCTCTCTCTCTCTCTCTCTTAATCTTTCTACGAGCTACGGAGCAAAACTATCTCTTAAAAAAAAAGACGAAGAAATATCTATATATACACACTGACACACCCACATATACACGCAAGTACTCACAGTTTTTATCATGCCGTAACTTCTCACGCGGTGCCTGCTCAATTCTTTTCCATCTACAGTATTTATTGTTGTTAATAAAAGTCTTTGAAAAACCATTGTATGTCTCTCTTTTTTTTACTAGACTATTACTGCGCTGCTATTTTTACTAGAACTTTTATTTTTGTTAATATTGATCACTTTCAAGAATAATAAAAATTACGTTGAGTATCGTATTTGTATTTCTTATTTACTCGAATTACGTTAACGAATTCAGGAATATATTCAAACTTTATTTTTTCAACATGATAGATTGCCATAGAAACCAAGAATCTGCAATATGTAAACTTAAGAATTGTTTCTTTTTTATTAATTGAGTGACATAACCAATTTTTCATAGCTAAAAGCAGTTTACTTGTTTTTTTATAACTAATTTTGTTTGTAACGAATTGCTAATCAGTCTGCCTCGCACATCGTCTCCTGATATTTACTTCTCGAGCGTGCAAGCTATAAAAGATATGATAATAAATGTTTACATTCCTTATGAGTTATCTTCTGCATTATTCTTTTCTCCTGATCTTCACGAGTCTTATGATCATCTGGTTCTTAATTTTTTTATTACAATCAAACTTGTTAATGAACACGACTATCAACGTTGCTACGTCTTTTGAATATTCAACACTTGAAACAAAATATGTAAATAATAATTATTATTGCGATGGCCATTTGGAATGCTTGCTTCAAAAAATATGTTCCCAACAAAGAATCACTTTGTATCGAAACAAAGTCTAGTGCAGTTGGTCAAACAACAAAATAGCACATAAAGTATATTTACAGACGGATACCAGGCGTTTATAAATATTTAACTCGGTAAATAGGTAGTTGAGAAGAAAACGCCTATCACTATGAACCACAGCGCGAAATTATAAATTTGCATGTAAATGGAAAAGGTCCATTAGTCATACAATTATAACAGAAATAATGGCAATCGAGTTTGGTAACTAAACAAGATAATGCTGACGAGTATCCGGAGATAATGTTGCTCGAAGAGTTCTTTGCCATTGTTGAAGATAAGCATGAGTGCACGGTTTTTATGCAATGTTGTCTTATCAATAAAAAATATCAGGGGCTTTATTCCTATGATAAAATTTTCTAAAAAGTACTTATAGCTATAGATTATAGCAATTTTTATTGGTTGAATTCCAGATGAATTATGTTTGTAAAATATTGTCTAGTAGGAGAAGTAAATGTAAACAATGGAGAATATATTTTCAGAACCCAAGAATGTCGGCTAATCGTAAATCTGCATTTCAGATAATGAACTGGATAGTTTCGTAAAAGAAAAAAAATTATATCTTTATTCTTAAACATTCCAACTGTTTCGTTACATTCTGAGATGTAAAAATTGTGTACAGCTCGTTTACTTATTGATAGAACTCGCAATATTTTCTTTACTATAATGTTCATAACTAACTTATGAAACGGCTGTTCTATAATCTTTAACTTTTTCCAAACTAACGAATCCAAAACTAATAATTTTATTTTATTTCATAAATATTAATGATGAAAAAATTTAAGGAAAATTTGAGAGAAAAAAAAGATGACGTTCAAAAGTTATTAGGTATATATTATAACATATACAAAATCTATTGACAATTTTTCTAACAAAACTTTAATATTAAGAAATTTATTTAAAAAAGACGTTAAATATGAATAGACTTCATTTATTGATATTAAACAATAATTATGCAATATTCCAGGTTAACAACAACATTCCGATGTAAACAAAGAAACAGTTATATCTATTGATGCATCGAAATCAGATTTAGGTGCTGTATTACTGCAAAGTAATTTACCATGTACGTATACCATGAGAAAAAGAATTATTAGCAACGTGTTTTGGTTGGTCTTCTAAATTTGTTTGAAGTAAAACCTTAGCAAGATTGCACTTGGAATCCAGAAAAAGCACTTGTAACCCAGAATTAAAGTAAATGGTCAAAGTTTGACTGATGATTGAGAGCGAGTAGGGCCTACTGCACTATTGATTACCTAGACCAAGCCCATGCACCGTGAAAAGTTAAGGAATGGGCAAAGGTAATGGCATGGAGTCGAGGGGCGGGGCTATCATTTGGGACTGCTGCAGCCTGACACGTCAATATTCGTTACTCGCAGGAGCAACTTATTGTCTCCGGATTTACTTTAATGAGTTCTCTTAGCTGGAATCAAATGTGCACAACTTATAGATAAGTATTTCAAAAAATTATGATGAAATTCTTTCTCATAAATACGTTAATATAATTCAGATGTTTTTCTTAATGGACTATAATTCTTGAAACTCTGGCTTGGCATTGCGGACACCTATGCTTATTAAATGCTAAAAGAGATATTTTAGATTTATATTTCATTTTCTCTTACTAAAAACATATATAAGTAAAATAATAACCTTCGGAGCCTTTGGTGTCATGAAAGAAAATCGATTAATCTGAGGTTTAATTAGCAAAATTATACCTTGCATTTACAAACTTTTTGCTTGAAACATTTTTATTATAGTAACTTATTATCATTTAATACTGGTTTGCGCCACCATTATCTCGTAATATTTGTTTATAGATACAACAAAGTAGTAAAGACGATGTTAAGTTTTTTATCGTAAAGAATTGCATTGACCTACCGCATTTACATGCTCTCCTGATAATCGTAAGCATTATCTTGTTTAGTTGTCAAATATGGCGTTCGAAGCCAAAGATATAAATACGTACTTTAGAAGACGACAAACACAGTAAGTGTCAGGAAAACATATCAATGTTAGAAGTAACGAGCTACGCGTTATCGGTATAAACGAATAAAAATATTTATTCGAATGTATTTGCGGCAAAGAACACTTCAATTTTACGATTCACAACAGCTTTCGATAATTTATAAAATATAATTATCAATAAGAGTATAAAGTGAAGCATTTCTTTTCCACCGTAATTTTTATAATAGCAAATTATGAGAACGTTTTCCGATATTTTTATCACAATTACTCGTTTACCGAGTTTAGATAATTTCTATTTCTTTTTCATCTCCTGGGGCCTTATTCCAATGATGAAAAGTACCTTATACCGATAGTTTATTGCGTGATGGATAATTGAAAACTTGAGGTTTGAAATTTTACTGAATAAATTAAAATATATATCGGTCTTTGGAAAAGATTATAGAAAACTAAATACCGTAGACAATATGCATAAATTTTTTCGTTTCAAATTACAAGCGAGTAGAACGCGTACAGTTGGGTAAGAACACTCATATATATATAAGAGAGCGTGACGAGATGGTTTTACAGATGGGTGCTTATAACTTTCACCGCACAATCGAAAAAAAAATTTTATTATACCCGTTCGTAATATAATGAATAGATTGAAACGAAAAACAATTGAAGTACATTTCACAGTGTCTTGTTCTTTCTAGTTTCTGTCTAAATTTGATATCTACTTTTTTTGACCAGAAAAAATGATAACCTAAAAATTTACAACATTTAAATCATAAGTTTAATCGATAAAAGTACGTTACGAATTTTCAAAAGTCAAATCGTTTTTGACATTACATTGTTTGTTAAGGTTTGAAGAGTACGTGTATCAAGTTTGAAGTCTTAAAATTAATTGAAAAAAATTATAAAAGTAATTTAGTGACACGATGTTGCTTCGCGGCGGCGAATCCGGGTACATTTTGGCAACATTTTTGAAAAAATCTACGATATCCTATAATTTTCAATAAGAAAATCGATTCAGGATTTTTGAATTTAATTATCTTTGTTGTATCAAAATTTCGTTTAAATTCAGTTAAAAATATAAACACAATATAGTTTTCAATGAATTTTTCAATAAGAGGTAAATTATTCCGTTTTATGTTTGAAAAATAGCATAGAAAGGAAATTAAGGGCATCGCATATTTGATGGATAAACTTGTGGGTACAGTGTAGCAGAAGATGAATTTATGCATAATTAGTGCATGGCAATCGCTGTTAAGGACGTAGTTAACATGCTTGTAGGCGATACCTCCTACAAGACTACTATATAGCTCTAGTTAGGAAATATAAATGAAGCAGGATGAATCTAGAAGATTAGATCAACTGACCGAAAAGAAGATAAAGCGCACAAGAGAGAAAGTAAGGGAAGTAATCTTTTCAAAAGATGGCAAGAGGAACGACGCTCATCGAAGAACACGAACAGACGATGGACGTCCACCCTTCTACATTTTTCTCCCTTGCTTTTATGTGCTTTAGTAATACATCTATTTAATCTTTCTCAATGTCTTCAAAGGTGAACGTTTTGAAAATTCGAAAACTTTCCTCACCTATGTAATGAAACAACTGAGCACATTGAGTTGCTTCTGCTTTATTGCTCACTTATGTAGCTATAAGATCATTCTTGAAATGATCTTTCTATATTTTCCAATTTTTACCAAGGTTACCTGTTATACTCGTATTGCTGCCATCAATACTATGCCTTTATGATCGTTATTTTCTTTGCAATCTTTATATTTTTTTCTTTATTTATTTCATAATGATTTTAACATATTTTTTTTATTTTACTTTCAACTGCGCTATGTCAAGTATATTTATTTATTACCAATCAATATATATAAGATGTTAACTATAAAAAAGATATTTACTGAATGGCCGCTGCTATAAACAACAATATATATATATATATATTGTTATAGATTCATGATTTCGTTTTTTAATGAAATATTTTTTGTAAACAAAATAATTTTTATTATGGTAAATAATATATTTTACTAAATTAATTGATTATATATTTACATCTGTCCAACAGACGAATTCAAACGTAGTGTCGTAGCTCTACTTTAACTTGCGTGCAACGCTGCAATGTTGTGTAAGAAAACTACTACGACTTGGGAAATAATAACTGAATGTTACTATAACATATCAGACTCTCACAAGTGACGACATAAGTTCCCAAATTGGACGAAAGATTTTCTTATTCAAACTAGAATACTAACTTGCCTCCTTTTCTCCAGAGATGGCTCTTGGAGTATTATTTTCGTGAATAATAGTGGCGGTGGTGTTGTGGCTCATATGATGTATACAGTTAAGCCAATAAAAAAATTTTCTATTTCTAATAATAGTGGCGTTATTATTTATACTCGTAATTATTTTTGCGCACGGTTACACCTTAACTAATTATTCATAATAATACATATTGATTATATAATGCAAAAAAACAAATATAGGTTGAAATCGCTACCGAATTCATTCAAATAATAAATTAATAATTTATGTTATTTTTTTATGTTGATTTTAACATAATTAAAGATTCATTGTATCACGATAACAAATGAATATAGAACACTTTCAAATGGAGAAATCGATTGGACATTGAAAGCCTTGTATATCTAAAACATAATCCATTTTGAAGTATAGAATATTATTATACAAACACTTGTGTTCGGACTCTATCTATGCTAAAACAGTTGTGACGATTTATCTATGTGTAACAAACGTCGAGCCACGGCGCGTAAGGAACGAGGAAATAAATCGTGCGCGCGAGAAAATAGGCCGTGATGACCGCCGGGTGTGTCGGGCGGCAACTTATCAGCTAGCGTTAAGCTAATGAGCCCGCAATAAAAAGAAACGGGGATGTTTGGGGAAACCCGGTACGCGCGCGTGTCGGCCACATGTTTGGGCCGGGGAAAGGACCGTTCGAGCACGTCCGAAAGGGAAAGAAAAATATGGGCCCCCTTTCTTTTTTTTTTTTATGGATTCTTAATTTCGCGTGGTTGTCTCTTCGCCAGTGAGCTGTAGGGAGCAGTCTCGGGTATCCAAATCAGATAAAAACAAAAAAAATTTTGTACGCGGCGCCTTATGCGTGCAAGGCCTTACATTTAGATGGCACGCGAGATTGGCGAAGGAGTGATCGGGGAGGCGATGCGCCTGTTAAGCGAAAAACAAAAAAAAAATTATATGGGGCCATCGATTCGCTTCGGTCTCGCTCGCGACTTGAGCTCGGGCGAAGGCAAAGTGTGTTTTCGTCGCCATGTTTGCTGATGTCAGCTCTCAGGAACTAATCCGGGAGGCTGCTAGACCCCACGTGAAGCAAGTGGCTTCCGAGTTCTCGCGGGTCGAAGAGAGAGACAGAAGAGGCCAGCCGGTTGACCTCTGGTCGAAAGGCTGATGGGCGAGAGTGCGAGCGGGGGCGGGGGCGGAGCGAGAGTGCGCGCGGCGCGTTAAGGCCCAATAGGAACAACTACGCGGAAAATTCGGCGAGGGAGGGGTAGGGCCGGAAAGGCTCGAGAGGATGCGAGCGAGAAAAATAAAAGGAACGAGTCAGTCTGCGCTCGGCCGCTCTTTCGCCGAAACTAGGAGGGTCGCTGCCCCAATCACTCTTCGAGTCGCGAGCGTTTTAACCACCGAGCGTGCGCTTTACCTGTTGTAATCTGTTGTTGGTGTGTGCTTATTAATAAAAAAAAAAAAAAACTTCCATAATTGCGCCTTCGACTATTTTTGTTTCTCCTCACCCCTTACACTATGAATTGAAATTACATAAAACCTTTACCCCACTATTTCGTATGTCTATCCCCTCTTCAACCTACAACACCGAAACCGCTGCTTTCAGCGCCACCATAGTGCTTAAAAGCCATGCTCGTCCGGAAAAGAGCGCAGTCTTTCGAGACAGTCCGTTTAACTAGCTTTCTTAGCAGTAACAAACACTAGTAGTAGTAGTACTAATAGTAGTAGTGGTAGAATTAGAAGTAGTTATCCTACGCGCATTTCCAACACAATGGTTTCTATTTCTCATTTTGAAAATACAGTACGTGATTTATGAAAAGTCTATTTCAATTAAGACGCACATAAAAATGATTTATTAGATGGAAAGATATAGCAATACGACAGAGATGTCAAACTTGCACTTCTCATTTACATTCATTTGAAATCAATTTGAGTAATTATATAAAATTCGGCGGAAACTTTAACCCATTACGAGTCATTCCATACCAAATTCAAGGGGACGGAGTTATAACGCAGTTAAAACGCAACACCTTCATCGGACGGCCTCTTTGTGTGCGAGTGATCTTTAAGTGATAAAGAATGTTGTAATCCATGGAACGGTGATATATATTTGGATTATTAATTTCAAGCAAGAATTCGACGGCGCGGCGTTACTTGTACCATGTCGAGTTAATCGCAGAGATAGTCAATTTCACAAACAGTTACAACTTTGAATCCTGTTATCAAGATATTTTACGCGATCGATTCACAAGCGATCTACTGAAAGTGAAATTGGCTAGACGTTAGTATGTTGATATGTTTGCAATATTACGTTCACATTGTTGCAAGAAAATTATATCGCAATAAGAATTAACCATTGTCGATTGCGTTTATTAGTTTTAAGGTTATGCGGGTTTAGATTAATACTTAAATAATTGTAAATAACTGTAAAGATATCAATATTCTGCTTAACATTTTAATAAATTAAGTAGAATTCAAATATGTTGAGTGTCAGGCATTTTACTTCGACTGTGGCGTGTTCCGTGAATAGCTCTCTTGATAACAAGTAAAAAAGCGCGTGCAATACTCGTAACGAGTAAACCTATTTCTCTCTTCCGCGAACAATCTGTCTACCTTTTGGTGAAAGCCGACAGCCGTGCATTTTTCTTAGCGCCGCAGAGCACGAGCGAGCGAGAGACCGTCGATCAAGAACGTGAAATCTGAGATGGATTACTGCAATTTCCTAACGCTCTGGCAGTCGGTCAACCATGTCTTATTCGCGCCACTCGCGCGCACTCACGTGCATGCGCGACTGATGACTTTTGTTTGAGGCGCGCGCACAGGAAGCTCGCATCTTTAATTCGCTACTCATTTGCCCTCGGTCCCCTCGACGGTTGCTCAATTCACACATATCTCCCAGTTGCTGTTAATCCTCGGTTTCCAATTTCTCTTCCACTTCCTCGCGGCTCATCCCAATCGTCTCGAACAGCTTCTTGTGCACGAGCGCGCCGGCTTTCGCGGCCACCGGCCAGTCGATTTCCTGCGGCTCATCGTCCTTCGTGTGCCCTTGTAACGTATACCGCGGATGCACAATCGGATTTCGCTCGCGCGTCGGATACTCAAACAGACCGGGCGTGCCTCATTAACGCCAACGCAATAACAACGCCAGGAAAGCGCAAGCGCTAGCCGTATTCGCGGCTAATTGATTGCTATCGGATCACGTTTAAGACAACTTTGCTTTATCGCTACGTAAGTAATCGTCTCGGCCGCGGTCAGATGGTTGCTCTTATGTACTCGTGCCATGACATTCTGATGTGAATGCCGAATTAGTCATTTCTATTTTAGTGACAGACTCGCGAGCGCTTCCCTACTAAGCAATTAGGATTTAGCCATTGTTGTCGTTTCGTAAACTTGAAAAAAGAAGAAAATAATTGAATGCCCAAAGAAGCAATGTGCTTTTGGATATGCCGCGAGCGTGTCCGTGAATAAAAATAGATGCTTCTTTTTCTAACCACAACCGCCACGAATAAATTAGATAAAAGCAATGCAATAAGGAAAGCCACGGTGGGAATATCCAAAGCGGAGAAAAGAGGTTCTTAGTAAAAACACCGGCTGCGTTCTGAAGTTTTCGGCGAGAAGAAGAAAAAGCGAGCAAAAGATGGAATCGTAGCGAAGCAAAGTGTATGAATAACGCCGGTGGTAAACAAATCGCAAAGAAAAATTTCTCTAATCTTTTTGTCCTTCACGTCTGACAATTCATAACTTATTTTTTTGCGGAGACTTACTTAGTCTGCGACGAGAAAAGAAACTTTATGGTAATTTAATTTTTCAATCACGGCTTCGCGGCTGCTAAATCACCATGCGCGTGATCGAATTGCCCGTATCGCATCATTTGCGAACTTCGAGCGTGCATTTCGTTCCGTGATGTATCGTCGCGGACCCCAATTGTGATTTTTCACACCAAGCCCTTGTCAAAGCAATGAATCGCCGCACTCGTGCCTTCGCGCGTAGCGAGATAGCGCGAGTGTCGTGTCAGACTCTTTTAATGTATAAACAATTAAAGATACTTATATTATTTCTTAAACTCTTTATTTGCTTAACTTTGAATTAAAATCACAATTTAAGAATTTATTGCAAGTGACAATAGTCGCAAACATAACGTATTTAACGTTTCATACGTGTAAAGTATATATAATAATACTATGCAAGCATAAAGTCTCTGCACTACAGAGAGAATCGAAGACTAGACTGAATATTGATTGAATTAATGCATGTAGCAATAGATTAAGCCACTTTAAAGTTTTCAACAGAGAATATTTAAAAATTTATCAAAGCTTCCCTCGAAAGCAAACGTATGAAAAAGCATTTAATTACTTCAGAATAAGCAATTAGCGTCTTTCTATATAAAAATATAATTATTACTTCTAGACGGACGTTAGAAATAATTAACATCTGTAAATATTATTGAATAGAAGAAAGAGTGAAATGAGAATGTATGACGATATCACAGAATCATGACCGTTTTGAACTTTAAAGTGTCTATATCGATTATATTTACGAGCAATAAGAGAATTTATTTGCCCAGAATCACATTATTAATTTCAGCAAACTTGAAAATCTTTCTGGTCCTCTAATTTGGAATGGATTGAGATTCTGTAATTTTATTTTAATATTATATTTACAGCCATCACGTCATTGAAGGATAAAGTTTATCTATCATTAATTTTGGTTTTATTGTGACACAGAATCTACTTTTTGCTTGAAAAGTACCGTGTAGCATTGTTTGTTACATTTTCATATTATTTATCTATACACGCAAAGGAGGAACATTCAAGATTACTTTTTTTGGGAATAATTTCAGTAAACTTTCTTTGGAACTGGTCGCAAACGTGTGCGTGTGTCATTTTCACCAATTTTTGTGCAATACAATGTTCGTATAATATTGTTAAGGATTGTCCACATAATCAAAATTTTATACTTCATCGCCTTCTTCGGTACTTTTGTCCTTCAAAGATGGCAAGCTCGAAGGTCATTTCTTAAATAAATGCGAAAATTCATTACTGATTTCTCGCACGAGATTCTGATCCTCTTGACTTTCAGGTCCTTCCTCGCAGAAAATTCTAAACCAAAAAATTCAGTGTTAATATACTTGTATCCGTTTCAAAGATTTAACTTATAAAATAATACGATACCGTGTAAAACATTTTAAAACATCGTCACAGCGATGCTGATGTTCGTCATAACTAGCAGTTTTTAATACTCTACGACAAAGTTCTAAATATTGTCTCCTTTTCTCTCCAGGTGATATGTCAAAAAGTTGGCGTAATATAATATCAACTAAAACTTTAATATCGTTTGTGTAAAAAAGAGAGGCTGTTTCATCAGTTTCAAATAAATCAATAAAAAGCTTCAGGATGGAATCTGGAGGCGCAGGCTCATGATCAAATATTCTTACTGGATCAACTGTAATACAAAAAAGGAATATAATTTATTTCTGTCAACATTTCCATCAATAAAAAAATATGACGAGAATTCATACTTTCTCTATTCAGCAGGAATAAAATTTTTTCAGTAAAAGTTTTTGCAACAGATCGTTGTTTGAGGGCTTCCATTACGACATTTTCTGAATCACGAAACTGTAAGTTGTATGAAAGTATTAAATTGACAAACAAGTCTGGTATTTGATCGTCCAAATCGGTATCTGGCGGATTTTCAATCAAATCCAACAGGAATGATATAAATTCAGCACCTAGTTGTTCTACCAAATTAAATTCTTATTAATAAATTTGTGTTTACTAAGTTTACAAAAATTTCTTTTAATTTTCATACCAAAATGTGTGATTGGTATGGGTTCACTCATAGAAAAAATCATAGTCAAAAGTAAAGATGAATAGTTCAATTTTGCAACATTTCTTGAGTTGGTTTTCATGTCTCTAAAAATTAAGTAAATATTATCTGACATAATTTTATTTGGCTAAAGTTATATTAAATTTTCATAAATGCTACCTTGCAAGCTCCATCGGAAGAATACTTTCCAACATGACTGTTACTACCACAGCATCCAAGCTACACATAACACCAAATGATTGCAACAACAACTGTCTTATAGTCCATCTTGTTTCCATTTGGTAGTACTCAATGAGTGTAGAAACTCCTTGGTATTGATCTTGCTTGAGTATGTGCCTTGACACATTAGCATCTGCATTAGTCTAAAATTTAATACCTTTAATATTTTTTTGTCAATTCAACCATCATTTAAAATTATATTTATTGACATACCAGTATGGATGTAAGCTCTTTGATGTATTCACAAATAGTTGGTTCATCTTCATAAAGCATCCAACTTCTTTGCTGTGAATCTTCTTTGCAAGAAGTTAATTCAGTGAAAATAATTTTCAATCTATTAGCATCATAGGTTTCATCAATGTTCAATTTAGTTAAATTTAATGGCACTTGCATCTGAGATAAAATTATATCAAAATAATGACTTAAGTTGGAGGGTAATATTTCTTGAAGACCAGTAAGTACAACAGTTACTGCAACTTTTGACATTTCATAGCTAAGATTGGTGCTGTGGCGTACTTGATCTAAAAGTAAATAAGCTGTTCTTGGATTTATTTCTGTCAAACTGGAAGATCTACTTTTCTCTGGCGATTGACTTGGTGACTTTTTAACACTATTCTCTGAAGAAATTTTGTAAATTTCTTTCTTTTGACTAGACTCTGAGCTTCTACGTTGGTCCTTAAGCTTCAAACATATAACATAATTACAACAAAATACATCAACTTATTAAAAAAACAAAGTTGAAAAGTTTTTACCTTGCTGTCAGATTGTGATTGCTTGCGCTGGTCATGATGTAAATTTTCAGCATTAGTATAAGTAGTAGGTAATGCTTGATTTTGTTCTATATTATTAAAAGTAGTAGGCGGTGCCTTCACTGGTGTTATACTACCAAAATCAGGTGGCAGCGGAGCTTGCTTCTTAGTTTTTTTGCCAACCTCTGCTTGTCTTTTTTTCTCAACTAAACGTAGTAATAAATCTTGCTTATCAATATTTGGAGAAACGCTAGGTTTTTCACTGTTTGAACGCAAACTTTCTATAGCCTCATCCAAAAAATTTATTATAAATTGTGGATGTACTTTTATTGTAGTTACATAGTTAGACGGTATGTAGCCTACTTGGCCTTTATTATTCACTACTTGCCACCAATTCCTTTGTTTTGTATGACTTTGATAAAGTACAAAATGGTCATTTTCCTCAAAGCTTAATGTTTTTGCAAATGTTGCACTAAAGTCATAGAGAGCTTTGAGCATTTCACAGTTATCTGAAAAATAATTTGAGCATATTACAATGAATATATTAAATAAAAGAAGATTTTTTAAACATAATATTCAATATTTAAAAAAAAATGAAACTGTTTCAAAATAAGAAACAGAAAAATCAGTAACATTACTTTTTCTTTTTTTGTGAACAGCACCTGCCATGATATATCCAAACTGGAATTTTTAATTTCACATAAAAATGGATCAGTTTACAAGGCCTCCAGTATAAGTTGCATTTTAGAGCAATATAATTGAAACGTATCAAAGAACATATAAAAATTAATAATTACGTTTACGTAATAATATATTCGAACCATATCTTGCGTAATAAACTCAAAAACTAACACGCATCGTCAAGCACACTTTCAAAAAAAATTAGCTGTCGAAATGATCTGTTCTGCAAACTACGTCATGCAGTGTCCTTGAAACACTAGGGAGTGCAGGGACGAACCTCGCGGGCAAAAGGTGCGCGCGGCACACGGAATTGCAGTTATATATGTAGTTATGCCCCTTCCCCAATTCAATATGTTTAAGAACTCGCGCATACGCGTGGTGCAGCGCTGATGCTATATACATGGTCGGCGAAGATGTTCACTGGGAAAATGATACTCACCTAACCTTAAGTAATTGTCCTCGCCCATCTTGCGACTCTGCTAGTCGGTTAGTTGGTCGTCAATAGAGGAATAATTAATTGGTTAACTGATGAGATTCAGCCAGTAGACAACGCCTAGATATCTAATATCGGTCGTACAGCAAGATTCTTTTTCACTTTCATTCGCGTATATTATGGCACCACACCCCAGAGCACTACATTTTACACTTTTAACCGGTTTCGGTTTTTGTTATCCTTCGTGAGCGAGCGAGCGAAGGGAAACGGAATTGTACATGTTGCAAAGGCGGACCTGTCCCGATAGCGCGGCCGGCAAATTTTTGTCACTTTCCGCAGGTATAACTCGAGAAAGGTATAAGTGTGAGGCCACGAGAGACCTTGGTAATGCTGTTCAATCGATATCAATGTTATTTTGCAACTCCCACTTTTCGCGACTTTACACCGCAGTTGAATGAAAATAAGCATAAGTCACTTTACTACGCATTCACTCAGCTGTTGCTATTGGGACCGGAGCAGACGAAGCTTCGTCAGTGATTACATACGGAGAACGAGCGTCTGGAAAAGCGGGCTCCGCGTATGTTGACGGTCAATTGACAAAAAGAAAATGAGAATTACGATTGGATAAAGAAACTCAGCAGAAAATTGATGATAATCGATTCCGAAAAATCATAGAAAAACTGGGCGTAATCAGTAAGGATAGAAAAACTCGTTAATAATTTTGCGCAATTTAGTTTTCGTTAATAAAAAAGTTCTAAACGTTAAATGCTCCGAGATCAGTATTAAATCGTTAACAAAATTCATGCGCAATTTTTTCCGGGAGGTACAAAATCACATATTGAACAAGAACATCACAGGAATATTTCCTCAGTGTGGAAAGGTCTTAATAAGCGCGATTATTCTCCATGAATTATGCTGGGAGAGGATGTTTGAATAGTATATAAGAGCCAAGGCAATACCGAGCGAAGCTCGCGGCCGCTGTATCGGTTCTAAGGGTCTGTCTCCATAGGGCCTGCCTGAGTCCGTCCGAGCCGGCCGAGATTTTTTATGGGCACGCCATCTCTATAATTTCGTGTTCATGCGTTTCTCGTATTGGCTGCGTCCGATCGGGCTCGTTTATGTAAACGCAGCCATTCACTATGAAACTCGCCATTGGATACGAAATTATAGAGATGGCGTGCCCATAAAAAATCTCGGCCGGCTCGGACGGACTCAGGCAGGCCCTATGGAGACAGACCCTAATGTACTGTACTATCCCGCGCTTCGAACATCCTAACATCCTCCCACAGTATAATTGTGTTTGTTACGCTATTGATGCATAAATAACTAATACGCTTCACGGGAGGAAATAATGTCTTCTTACAAGATATTATGCAATGTATTATTTATCAAACTCTTTAAAAAGTTGATTTGTTCGAAGACCGAAGAAGCCAATCTCTCATTTTAGGAAACGAAATTTAAATTTGAAAGGACCAACCAAAATCTGGAAAATAAGGTGGATAAGAAAGTATTCCACAGTGTAAATTAAACAATTTGACCGTTACAGTGGAACTCGTGTGGTCAAGCTGGTGCATTGTGGAGGTAGAGAAAAACTTTTTTGCACCACATGGAAATTTCTAAAAGTTAAAGAGCGCGTGAAGAAACTGATATAGCAAACGGTTGTAAGCCGATTACTAGTAATCTGGTAATTTTTTAAGGTCGTTATATATATACTATCAACATTAAAATTTGTAAACAAATATGTCTAGAAAAATTATTTTTTTATTATATCTTTGACTGATAAATAACAAGATTAGAGTCGTATAGTGATTTTTTTAATAAAACAAATATGATTTTAAATATTATGAGAACGTTTATTTTTTGAAAACTACAGTGCACGATACATATAGTACAGAAAATAAAAAATAAAAGTTGAATTTTCAACGATTTTCATACATTTTTTTACAGTTTCAGACTTATAGTTATATTTTGACATTTACGTTCCTGTAACAAATTCTTATAGGTATATTATATAAAATCGAATATCATACATGACACATGTTTTATATTCACTATATACACTGCAATATATGTACTATATACACTGAAATATATGTACTATATATACTGCAATTTTCAAAAAATAAACGTTCTCATAATTTATATCGTATTTTTTTTTATTAAAAGAAAAACACATGGGGTTTCAACTTTTTTTATATATCAATCAAAGATTTAATACAAAAATAATTTTACATTTATTTACAAATTTGAATTTCGAGTTTAGGTGGACAATCTTCAAGTTACTATAGATTGATAGTAATATCATAAACGTTTGCCATTCATCTCTTCGCTCCCTTTTTACTTTTTACTCTGGAATCCCTGGATCTATACTATATAGTGCAAAACATCATGTTAACATGTGGTGACGGTTACACAACCTTCTTTCAATTTTTCATGCAAGCGTTGCCTTAAAAAATGAGAAAAGAATTTTTTTTAATCTAAACTGTTGCCTTAAAATATTTACTATACGGAGGACGCAGGTGTTTGTTTACGATTATTTATTTTTCAAAATAAGTACTAATAATATTTTCTTCTATAAAAAAATTTTTTTCTCATTCTTTAAAACAACACTTGCATGAAAAATTGAAAGAAGGTTGTGTGACCGTCACCACATGTTAAAATTATGTTTTGCACGATATTGTAGATCCAGCTCATGGAGACTATACATACACGTATGTAGCAGAGATTCTATATGTAGTCTCCATGATCCAGCCTTTGAAATTTTCGTGAATGTGTCGACAGAAATGAAGCTCTAGTCACGTTAGTCGTTACGCGTGTACGATTCCAAACAAGAATGGCGACGTACGCCTCCGCTGTTAAAGTCTCCGTTGAGGCACCGATTGAAAATCAAATTCAGGAGATTACTTATGATGGCCAAGAAATTTACCAAGCGTGTGTATTGTTGTACTTAATTTTTTAAATAACTGTTTTAATTGGACAGTCTTATACCTCTTTATTTACGATATTATAATCTAAAGCTAACCTCAAACATCTTAATGTATACAATGATGAATATAAATATTTATTTAGTAATTTCAAATATTATGGCATTGTTTTAACCATTCTTTTAAATTTGCTTTTATTTGAAAAGAAAAAAAAAATTTTGCCATGTTTTGATATTTTACAAATTTTACTGGCACGAAGATGTTTTCTATAAAAATATAATTTTTTTGCAAAGGAAAATAGCTAAGTACTTTTTAGCTCAATGGATCCATAAACTATTTAATAAATTGTAGTACCTTTCCAGACCACTTACATTGTCAGAGAATTTGGCTAAAATAGCCCAGCAGATTGATTTTTCCAAGACAGATGGAGAAGATGCTACAGAGTTAGAAAATGGAGAAAAGGCCGAAGAAGATGTAAAGGATCCTGCAAACTTTCAATCATCTCTTTGGCCATGGGATAGTGTCAGAAATAAGTTGAGGTGTGAATAATAATTATCTGAAATATACTGAGCCAGGAATTAAAATTAATCAAAATTAAATTTCTTTTATAGGAATGCTCTAACAGAAGTATGTGTTTTGGCTGATGTTCTTGCTGTTGCCAAAGAAAAGAGATACATGGTACTTGATCCAGTTCCACAGGAAAAACCTGAAGAAAAACATTTGATTCAAGTGCTTGCTAAAAAGAAAGCATTAGCTGGTGCAGCACAAGTTTTACTCATGGGTGCTGATAGGATGAAGAGCTGTCAAAACGAATCAGCTAGAAATCGTTCAAGTCCAGACTTTCACATAGAATTATTAAGACTTCGACAAAACTGGAGATTGAAAAAAGTTTCAAACTCAATTATTGGAGATCTAAGTTACCGTACAGCAGGATCAAAATACAGTCAATCTGGAATGTTTGAAATTACAAAAGCAGAGGAAGAAGAAAAAAGTTTAACTAGCCCTCCTGGTTCCCCTAATTCGAGTTTACCTGTACAGCCAACTCCTCCTTCAACTAAAAATGCTTCTGCATTACGAGTTACTATTCCAAGTGAACTTGAAGGATATGCCTACATTGAAGTATTGTGTAAAAAAGGTAAATTGTTACTATAATTTTTTTCACTTTTATAATTGATTTTTCATATTACAGATCAAGAAGCCCTTTGTAGTGCCAATCTTAATTGGTTAAATACTGGAGCTGGAAATAAACCTGATCCAGATAAAAACTGGCAAGAAAAGCTAGAAGCAGCACAAAACGTCCTATTTTGTAAAGAATTGTTCAGTCAACTAGCAAGGGAGGCAGTACATTTAAGGGCACCTATTCCACATATGGTTGTTGGTAACCGTATAATGGCTACAGTGAGTAAATTTGGATTTTATTATTAAAATAATCAAATAACTTTTAAGTGAAAATTTTATTATCTACAGGTTTTTCCAGGCATTCAGCTCATTATTATTTTACGACATAGTACTGGAAATGACAAAAAACCAGTACCACAAAGCACAGATCATGATCACGTTTTGGAACACTCTTTACATCAGCTATTAAGAGAAATGCATCATAAAAATACACACCATCCATTTCCACATCCATCATCAGGTCCTCTTGGTCCAAGTAAAAGAAGATGTTTAGCAGGTCCAACAGCAGCAGATCGTCATGAACTTCTTGAAATGACAAAGAGTCAAACTCTTTTAGAACAAATTATTCAACAAGCGCAACATTTTGTTATGAGGTCGCGAGCGGAATATGTTTTGGATACCATAGCAAAAGAAGTTAAAGATCCACTTATTGTTACTCATTGGAATGCTCTTAATTCACCTACTCAGTCTAGTGTTAGGATAATAATTTTAACCCATGGTTATGACCAAATAATGCGAACTTCGTTAGTAGTACACGTTAATGAAAAATCGTTAAAATGCGTCTGTAAGGATGGCAGAGTTATGCATATGAGTTATGAGCCACAGGAATTGCGTAATCTTTTAATGTGCCAAGTATGTTTCTATAGATTATCATGACATTTCATTTTATTGTATTATAATTTAATTAATTTCTTTGCAGATTAATCAACATCAAATCAGTGCAATACAGGGTCTTGCAAAATGTATGGGTTGGCAATTTTTGGCCAACAGTCCACATCTTGGTCTAGGAGCTGTAGAACCATTAGGAAATGCCAGTAGTTGTATACTAGCATCACCTATTGGAGACAGGTATTAAATAACGTCATTTATACATTCAAGTAATACTATATAACATAAACTTCAGAGTAATCACGTACACAATTTATTTACAGAATGATAGCTGTAAGGTGTGAGCAAACAGGAATTCAAGTTTCGATAGCTCATTCTCCAAGAAAAGACTTTTTCCCTGGACGATTAGTACGAGAAAGAAAATGGGAAAATCTTGGGGGTTCTTTCAAAGAAGTCAGGTGGGACAAAATGGAGGGAAAGAATTTCTTAAATAAAATGGAATTGTTAATGGCATCTTTGACTAGCTCGTAAATAACAGATTAAAAAGTTAAAGATAAATAGATGAAGTACAACAGGGTGAAGATTTGATATTGGTGATCAACTTCTGTAACCTCATAGTGTTTTTATGTTTGAATAGATAATTGATAAAAATCTGATGAAACAAAAATAGGCAGATTTATATACAAGTATTATCGTGAGTAGTATATGAATTGGATCTTGTTTGTTTTAATTTATTTATTACATGTATTGAAAAAGTTTTCATTGACTTCTACAATTTTTTTTTGTTGAAAAACTTAAAAAGCAAAAATTACAAATAAACAAATCATATATTTCTATGAAAATGTTTTTATTCTTATTATGTTGGATGACAATTGAATATTTTATGTGACAACTTTTCTTACAGTATAATGTGAACGTTACAAAAGACAAATTCTACATCACATTTTATAAATAGTAATAAATTAAATTTATAATGTTACTTATCCTTTTAAACTTTATGCATTTGAGTAAAAAGTTTAATACACTTTGATAAATAGTCGATTTATTTTACATAAGTTTTAACTAATAACTTCATTATTACTTTGTTCTAAATGATTTGGATTTTACTGATACCAAAAACCGACAACAATTGAACTCCATTGCAATAGAAAATTATTATCAACACTGTAATACTTTAAGTGAACTTAGAATTGGTACTCATTTAATACAATGGTAGAATCGTTATTTTCATTTAAGACAACTTCTTCTTATGACTTATCGTCAATGTAATTCAATTAAGTAAAAAAATTAATTTCATACAACATTTGTACTTGTCGTATTATTTAGTATATCCATATTCTTGCTTTTCCTTTGATAAATTAGTTTATTGTTTAGAATGTGAATATGTTACTGTTTTCAATAACTTTATATAAATATTAGTTTTCTGTAAGTATACATTTTTCACAGTGACAAGTAATAAACTGCACTTAATCAGTCTCAATCTTTAATAAAACATTGCATTAAATTATGTACTCTACCACCAGCAACATTATAAGCAACAGCTGTTGTAATTAACAGAACACTATACACAGAAAACAAACTTGCAGCATAATGCTCATAACTATTCAATAGAGTCATACAAGAAGCAAACATGTGAGAACCAACCACCCAAGTTATTTGGAACCAGTTTTTTTTATCAAGAGCTGAGAAAAATATAACTCCCCAAAATGCGTGAAGCACAATGAAACACAATGTAGTTGCTGCTGATATTAGGAAAAAATATTCGTTGCCTTGAATTAGACCCATAGTACCAGGACCCATTGCATCAGCTAAAACATTAACCAAAGCAAAAGCACCGCTCATTAAACCAAATCCTAATCCACAGACATAAGCAAAAACATCTCGACTGTCAGCTACATGAGCAGTTGTCACTTTTTCTAAGCCTTTTTCAGCTTTCCTTAGTGCTTTGTAAAGGAAGTACCTGAAATAATTTTAAAAAATGAAATATAGAAATACTTGATGTCATTGCATAAAAAAATATGACTACCTGAAACACTCTTGCAGGATGACAGAGTAAAATATTCCTGTCCATATGTAATCTTGTAGAGGAACAATAATGTAGTAGAGTACAGAAGATAAGAGTAAAGAAATAAGCCAGAAGAATGCACTTGCAATCAGCATGATTATACGAATGGGTTCAGATGCAACAGTCAAACTAAACATTGCAAAAGGTGGTCCAAATGCCAGCAAAGCACACCCAAAAGACTCCATTAAAGTCATCTTGTTGATATTTTTACAAAATCAACACAGATCAAAGTATCTAACTGAAAAGTAACCAACAAATATTAAAAACCGCTATTCGATGGTAACAATGGCCAAATTGTTATTCAAAATCACGGCGATAAGAAGGAAATAGTAATGTTATAGTTACATAAATATAAAAGTCGTTTTTCAGAATTGTTAATGAACTTTTTGTAGAAGTTGTATCTATTTAATACAAATACACAATTGTATACTGATGATACAATATTGATACTGCTCAAAATAAACAGCTGTATAGTGCTACCTATTTATCGTTATAGTACCAAGTCTTCACTCGTACAGCGCGCTCCAGGACTTCTGATCGAAAAATCTCTTCCAAGATCCGCACTAAACCGCAAAAATAGTGAAATAATTTTTAGAGGAAACCCTGGCACGCTCATATGCCCTAGACTCCTAGGTACATGTGTGGCGGTCGAGCCCCGGTTGGTGCCGCCACCTGCGGGCCTGGATCAGCGGCGGGAGAGGCGTCTCCGATTTGAATTAGCCGGATTAGGAGGCGAGGCTTAGGGGGATGATGGCCAGATAATCCAGTTAGTCTGGTCATTCCTAAGCGGCTCATACGATCACATTCCGGCCTGGCGGCCTATATAAGGTCGTCCATCGCAATACAAGGGGAGTATCAATCGAACTGCTGTCCGTCGTCAACCCGAACGCTTCGTCATCGCCTACAACCGCTACCAGGACGCAACAGGACTCATCATCGCCGCCGAGGAACACCATCGTCCGCTCAGCCAAGCGTCATTCGCTCTTTCCAAGCAGGCTTGCCCTGTTTGTGACGCTCACGGCCCCCGACGCGGGCGAGCTTCCGCACGCCGCTGTACTGCGCCATTTGAAAGAAGGAATAAAGATTTTTCAGTGTCTAAGCAGAATTTGATTCTGACGTGATCTTCCGCGCATTCCCTGCCACTTCCTCTATCCGGGACGAGTGTGGCTGCACTCGCCAACAACAGCCAAACATGTATGCACCGTCCGAGGCGTCAGCGTTACCGCTGAAAAATCTATATTGGGTCCCTAGAAATGATACCACCAAATATCTGTGGTTTAATCAGAGTTCCTAGTTCCATTGACAATATTCCCAAACTGTGCTGTCTGCTTAATCAGTGGTAGTCAAATAAAATTGATGAATAGCTCATCAGTACTCAATTAAGTCAACTATGGCTGAACTTGACTACCACTGATCGAGCAAGCAGTAGTTTGGAAATATCTTCCGAACTAAGAATTTGATTGGAACGACAGATATTTGGTGGAATCTTGGTGGAATCTTGGTGGAATAATTTCTAGGAACCCGAGAGATTTTTCAGCGGTAACGCTGGTATGCATATATACTGCTATTATTAAGCTTGTGCTAGTCGAGTATAGCCTGTAGAATGATAATATTATAGACGTACAAGTAGTTTAGTCAGGTTATGTTTATTATAAAAACTATGCTAATCATCAATGAGAGGAGAATATTTTATTAATGATACTAAAATCAAATAGAAGAATGATTTTGTGGGAAGAAGATTCGACGGATTATTTTGTCCATTTGACAAATGTATCTAAACATTTCTACTTAGGGCTTGGCTTAGCTGTCATGTCAAGTGGATTTATAGGTCAGTATTGGTATAAAATATTTATTTTACTAGAAATGTACTCTAATTTTAATTGTTTATTTGCTTATTTTCTCAGTTTATAAATTTTTATTAAATTGTATGACTAATAGATTTATTTGATATTTATACAATTGAATTTCAACTTACTTTTTTATTTGCTCTCTACAACTGATTGTGATCTTTCAGGAACAAGTTTTATAATAAAAAAGAAAGCTCTCATTAGATTACAGAGGTATGGATGGCTGAGAGCCGGTGCTGGTGGATTTGGATATTTGCGACAATGGATTTGGTGGGCTGGCTTATTATCAAGTTAGTATCGATCAAGGTATTTTTAACAGTCTGCATGCTGTATACTTTATTAAATTATACTTTTTTTATAGTGGGCATTGGAGAAGTAGCTAATTTTGCAGCATATGCATTTGCGCCTGCAACTCTTGTGACACCACTTGGAGCATTAAGCGTATTAGTATCAGCAATTTTAGCTTCAATTTACCTCAATGAGCACTTGAACTTATTGGGAAAAGTAAACAAAAATTTTTTTAATATTCCCAGTGCTATTTTTATGTAACATGATAATGATATTTTCAGCTTGGATGCTTACTATGCATTCTGGGATCAATAGTCTTGGTACTTCATGCCCCAAAAGAAGAACAAATCGAAAGTATAGAAGATTTAACATTCAAAATGCAAAATTCTGCATTTGTGACTTACACCATATTAGTTGTTATAGGCTGTTTTGCAGTTGTATTCTATTTTGGGCCACTGTATGGTAAGAGCAACATAATAGTTTACATTCTTTTGTGTTCATCAATGGGTTCTTTGTCAGTAATGAGCTGCAAAGGCTTGGGATTAGCTTTAAAGGAAACAATGGATGGTAAAAATGAGATGACCAATTGGCTGACATGGGTTTTACTTTTTGTGCTCATTCTATGTATTATGGTTCAAATGAACTACCTCAATAAGTCATTAGATTTATTTAATACAAGTGTGGTGACACCAATTTATTATGTATTTTTTACAACTTTTGTGATAATTGCCTCAGCAATATTATTTAGAGAATGGGAGTGCATGAGTAGTGAAGATGTCATAGGTTGTCTTTGTGGCTTTTTGACTGTAATAATTGCAATATTTTTATTGAATGCTTTTAAAGATATGGATGTTAGTTACAATGATGTAAAACAAATTTTTAGGCCAAAACGGGAAATTATTGCTCAAAGTATTGGATGGGATGATCATAGTGAAAATGGGCAAATTAGATATGATTCAGGGCACAATTATGGTAGCAGTATAGCAAGATCAATGTGACGTTACATAGATTAGATTATAGACTTTTGTACACATATCACAATTGCTTTTGCCACAAAAAATGTCGGAAAACATAGGTATAGTCTAGTCAATATTACAAATTACAAATGACTATGTCCCAGGCATTTTCACAATACTTTACTTTTCATGAAATAGTTGTGAAAAGTATGCTTATTGTAAAATAAAATGCTAAATAAGACTGTAATTTATAAGAAAACACTACGTATACATAAGCAGGAATTGATGTCCCAATTATTATCATGCATATATTTTTAAATGCAAATGTAAACTTTCATATTGTTATACCATTAAATACAATTGTTTTTTTATATACATTTAGAAAACATTTATTTCAATCCTTTATGACTGTAAAGATTTCTATATTTGTTTGAATTTAATTTCTAACATGGAATATGAAGTCATAAGTCATAATTGCAGTATTATTTCCGTCTGACTCGAATTTTGAAAAAGAATGACAAACAATAATTACGCATGCGCGCATTCAATATTTTTACTTCGGTAAAAATGGCGTTTGGCTTGGCCGCTGCCTCGTATATTGTAGGATTAATTTTAGATGCATTTCTTATATTTTTTGCCATTTTCCATGTAAGTAGTAAAAATTAATATCATTTCTTTTTCTCTGTGGAACAAAAAATATAATTTTGTTAATTTTCGTTTATAATTTGACTATGTCAATATAACCTCTTTTTCAATTTTTTGAGCAATTTAATGATTTCCATATTTTTAATTTTTAATGTTTTATACGAAGAAAATATAGAAACGTAGAATTTTTTTATTTAATTATTGCGATGTTCATATAGGTCATTGCTTTTGATGAACTCAAAACAGAATTCAAAGATCCTATTGATCAATGCAACAGTTTAAATTCAGTAAGTCATTTGAAAAGCATAGAATATTTCGAATTTATCTTAAAAATAACCCGCTAAAATTATTTTAATTTTCAGTTGGTTCTTCCAGAATATGTCATTCATATTTTCATAAATTTCTTATTCCTTATAAGTGGACAATGGTTTTCATTAATCTTAAATATGCCACTGATTGCATATCATATAAATAGATACAGAACTAGGCCTGTAATGTCAGGACCTGGTCTATATGATCCAACTAGTATTATGAATATGAATGATTTAAACAAGTGCCAACGAGAAGGCTGGATCAAATTGACATTTTATCTTCTCTGCTTTTTCTACTACTTATATGGGTAAGCAATGTCACAGATTGTATTTTTGATTTGTGAAATACAAACAAATAAAACTAATATTTACTTATCCACAAGTTGATGTTTCACATGAATAATATTTATTTCAGAATGATCAGTTCACTTATACAGTGAAATTAAGTGTATAGAGTCCATGTGATTGTTTTCAATACAATGGTGATGTTCATAAGGGAAGTGTTTAATAAAATATGCTTTTTCTATTAATATATTTTGATATTAATTAGTTATTTTTATGTTTTTTCTATGAAACATTTTGCTGATATATTGTATTTCATTTATGAACAAACCTGTAACTGTAATATTCAAATTCTTTTCTTTAAAAAAAATTTATTACAACTTTTTTTCTACAATGAATAACACATATAAGTAGTCATTCTTATTTTATTCATTGCAATGATAATTAAACCATATTATAGTTTCTAATTTAGTATAATATTACATACAACTTGTTACCTCTAATGTAAAAATGTTTGTAATTTAAATTGTCAAAATTTGGTCATCATTTTAAATGTAAAAATATAAAATGGTTTTGATAAAAATAGAACAGTTCTAATGTTGTAAGTAACTAAATTTTGTAATATTTAAACTAATATGTAATGTTTAACAAAAAAATGCTTGAAAAATCAACTATAAATGTTTGTGTTCTACTACATGAAATTTAATACCTGAAGTGAATATATTCAAAAAATGAATGAATAATTGCATTAATAAATTCAATAAAAGTTTGGTTTTATGTCAAGTAGCAAACAATTTTTATTTTTATAAATGCTTTTTTGTGTAACTTAACCAATCAATGATATTTCCACTGCTTAACATCTACTATTGTCTCTCTATGATGACTAGTTGTCCTAGTTGCATAAAATGGCATGCACGTTTATTGTAAAAAAATTGAATAATGTCTATAATATTTATATCAAACAGTTTTGCTTTTATAATTAACTTGAATGTTCCATATATATAAATTGTTTTTGTTAAATAGATTTATAAGTGTAGATAAATATTATATAATTATGATCACTTAAAATTGAGTATTATAAATTTGTAGAAATATTTTATAAATATATTTATAAATGCAATATGAAAAAGCCTTAATTATAATACATATATATTCTTCTACCTGCTTAATTTCTCTTTAAGCCAATCTTCTGTTAATTCTTCTAATTCTCGAACTTCGTAAACTCTTGTAAGTCCTGCTTCTCTTTGTAAAACCAATTTCATCCCAGCGTAAAGGACTTGTAATTCCATTTGAATATCTCTTGGAGTATAAAATATGAAACACATTGGATAGGAAATCCTACCATCTAAGTGCTCCATTTTGTAACTATAAACAATGTAGCGTGGTTCATGTTCAGGAATGATGTCCTGTAGTTCTTCAATTCTTACATCCTGAAGCAAATTGATATAAATATTTTAAAGACACTATAATTTACAAACATTTCAGTGTAAATATTAATTTACATCTAGAAGCTCATCGACACAAATCTTTTGTTTCTCTCTGTCAACCTTCACTGCAAATAAAAAAAGAAATCATTTTATAATCTAAAAAATGTTTCATTGTAGATGCTGATATTTACATAATAGCGCTGCATTTTTTTGACTTTTTCGGAATCTAAACTCCTTCAGAGCATCCTTCACGTCATCTTTTATATCACACATACTATTGGAAGTCTGAAATAGGTAGTACATTGATTAGTAAGACTCGTATGTAAATTGTTCTAAAAGAATGACAACAATTTCCTTAATTAACATCGTATCCCTTGAATATTTGTTTCACAATGCTATTAAAAAAATTCATGCTTCCTCACAAACACACGAGCAAAGTACTGCGAACACCTGACACTGTCTAGCAAAAGAAACAATTTACGATAGCGTGTGATTAAAAAAATGACCGCGTGATATATCTTTGAAACAAACCATCGAGTTACATTAAAATCACTAATCACAATCTAGAATTATTTTAGAATGTAAATAAATATTAAGACAGCCTACCATTTCGTCAAAATGATCGTCACTGGGCGTACACTCCAGATGCTAGAGTAATTTCAGATACTGTTCATATATATGTATATATATATATATATATAATACAATAGTGCGACGCTGTTCGAGTCCGTCGTCCACAGTTCAAACTGCACTCTGCATTTTTTTTTATAGAAGAGGGAATTGGGGAACATAAAGTGATGTAAATGTTAAAACTAAAGGGGTAAATATAATATGTATAACTGCAGTTGTCTTTTATTGCGTTTGTTTTGTGTTATATATTTTCAGTAAATAAAATTTTTTAAGAACTTAATTTTTTTGTAGATTTTATATAAACATAATTTTTTATAAGATTTTTTATTGGCGCATATGATTACTTTTCTAATAGTATTTTAAGCAGTCAATCAATGCCAGAAGATTTTTATTACGAAAGGAGTTTGATACGGAACGAGTCCTGAAATACGGTTTCGTTATATATTTTATGTTATGAAAATTTGAAAATGATGAACAAATTGCATTTTTCAGGTTAAAGTTCCATAAAAAAATATTGGACATAATTGTTAATATCGAACAGTTTAATTTGCACTATTTTGAAAATTTTTATTACAGATTAGTAAAATCAATCAAATATGATAAAATTGAATAGAACTGGCCTGTTGCATTGCAAAAGCAAGTGATTAACAGCTTCAAGTCACATGATAATATAATTATTAAGTAAAGTTCATGAAAAATATTTTATCCTGCATACTAATTCTAAGTTTTATAAAACATTCCCAATTTGAACTTATTGGTATACCATGGATTTGGCAAGAAGCATCAAACACTTCAAAGAAAAGTATACTTATTATATATCAGATAAGTTATCAACATGATCAGCTTGAGAGTCTTGAGACTATACAAGATTTAATGGAGATTACAAAGCTATATTTAATGAACATAATTCAGGAAGTAAAAATACTTGATATCTCTTCAAGGAGTGGGTTATTTGAAATCCTAGTAAATATAAGAGTAGCTAAAAAATTAAACATTTTCTTGAGTCCTCTTGTTCTTATTAGTCTCATTTTATCTTAAATTTATTATTTTAGAATAGCAACTGTACATTTGACAAAATATAAAAGATATATAAAAAAAATTGTATTAGATTAAAATGTGAAGATATATGTTTGAAGATTTGTATTTACTTTCTTGAATTCACATTAGGGGTTTTTATTTAATTTGTAATGTTATATTCCATTTGTTACAACTGATATAAAAATGTTTATATATTAAATTTTGAGTAAAAATGAAATCATGATTTTGAATGTAAAAATAAAAGATGTTTATAAAAACAACCGTGAATGATTTGGTTTTACTGTATGAAATTCAATAGAGGATATTTTTAAAGATTGATAAAAATAGAAAAAATAAATAATTATGCTCATAAGGTCAATAAAAGCTTTGTTTTATAAAAAATAGTAAATAATTTTTTATTTACTTATTTTAATACTACAAAATAAATGTATCTCGAGTAAAAAGAAATTGATATTATAAACTATGCAAATTCTGATGGCTCAGGCAACTGTAAAACAAAATTCAAATCTTGTTGAATATAAAATAAATTAATAGTGAGCAACTCTTGAGTTGACTTATTGTTGCATATTTTGTTACATTGGTAACACCGTTATATTCGTTAATATTGCCCCGAAATCGAAGCTATGGTAAATAATTTCTATAAGTAACGGCAGTACTGCCCATCTTTGGAATGATAAGGTATCTTAATTAAAAGATTAATATCACCAGTGCCTATCATTAATTCCTGGTGATAGATTCAGAATTATAGTAATAACAGAACAGTTAAATTTATAGTGTCGGAATATTATTCTATTTAGTTTCCCCTTCATTTCTGCATAAAAATTATATATTTATAGCTATCGATTTTGGAGAATTATTGTTCAAGGGCTTTTCATCAAACATTTGTACGGTTCCATCCACTGAAAAATTGTGGAGTGACTAAAATAAGTGGTACTGAATACATCATTATGAATATCATCTTTCCAAATATATATATTGATGGTCTGTGCATCAGTTTATGGATAAAGTTTGTAATAGCCGCATATTTGTACCCATTTATGCTAGAATCCATGAAAATTTGTGTAATTGCAAACTAGTGGGGTAAGCGAGGAGAGAGAGAGAGAGAGACAGACAGAGAGAGAGAGAGAGACAGACAGAGAGAGAGAGAGAGACAGACAGAGAGAGAGAGAGAGACGGACAGAGAGCAAGTATGTGAGAGTTGGCGCCACCTAGCGAGTGCATCGTTTGCTCGATGGTCTGGTCTGTCTTGGGCTGATTCCAATGGACACGAAAATCGTACGTAACAAATTGCTACCAACTAAAGAATTTAAAATAACCCAACTTTGCAATTTCACGTAACATAACCTCAAAAATGATAACGAAATTACCCTAACTTATAAACGTTTTTTTATAATATAATTAATCTGATAAATATTTTAGTGGTAATTATTGGTTGAAAATTTGAATATTTTTTACACTTTCATTAAAATATATTAGTCGTATTTAAGTTTGTCTAAACATTTTGAGGTTATGTTAAACACTTGTTATTTTAAGTTGGCAACAGCAGAAAACCCACTAGGAATTGCTTGTCGTGTACAATTTTCGTGTCTATTGGAGAATCAGCGTTGGTATCGCAGCCATGCCAGACGGTGCGGGTGCCAGTGCCATGTTTGTTATTGTCGCTTACTGGCAGCAGCAGCAGGAGCGAGGAAGGTTCGACGTCCAGCAGTAGCGCAGCCAACAGCAGTGGAATCGAGCGAGTCGTCGCAGCAGCGTCGCTGTCTAATTGCTGTCTCTGCTCATTCGCGAGTGAGAGGATTGTTGCTTTGGAACATTTTTTGTTTTCGCTCTTACGCGATGGAGCCTGCACTTACATAAAACACGTACAACGGGTAAGAAAGAGCAAGAAAGCGCGAGGAAAGTGGGTGTGCGCGTGCGTTTTTCTTTATCACTCAGCTGGCGTCGCGGAGTGCGCGTGTGTTCAGAGAGCGGCGTCCACGATTATCGCACATCCTGTATATCCTGAGCCGTAGCCTAAGCTGTCGAGGTGAGTGAAATTGTGTTGAGTTTTTAAATGGTTCGGGTGAGTAGGTGTTTAGTCGGTTGTATGAGTTTTGCTTTGACATCGCGGCAGCAATAGCCAGAGCGGCGGGCAGCGCGCACTCTTTGTTCTTCTCTTGGTTTCTTGCGAGACAAGTTTGTCCAAAAAGGAGCAACGAGAAAGAGAGACGCGGCCCCGCAGGCTCTGGCAGATAAAGAAGGTGGGAGGAGGCGGCCCACATAGGGAGTGGGGCGTCTGCGTGTACGCAAATTGCACTGTGTAAAAGAGGGGTGTCTCCCGTCCGACGTTGTCGTCACCGTCGTGGTTGTCGTGCTGTGCATGGGGTCGGGGTCGTCGCACGTTCTTCGCGTTTAGTCTGTCGATCCGATATTTATCAAGATCCTCTGCTCATCGCTTTACTGTTTTGGTATCGCTCCTCCAGTTTTCTAGGCCAGAGCGACGATATGCTCGCGCGCGCGAAATCTGACTTGACAGCGACTCTCGTGCGAACCAACCTGTATTTTCAGCGAGCTGCACTGTCTCGGCTACTGCTGTTAGCCAAATTAAATGTAAAGACTCTGCGGCAACGGCAGCATTTTCCGCGGTGCTGTAGCTCGCTCGGTTCTTTCTGTTGACAATGGAGTTTTCTTTTCTTCGCCTTTGTTTTCCTTTTTAACTTTTATATAGTTTGTTTCGAACTCTGATTAAAATGTCCTCTTGCCTTTTCACTGCGTGCCTTCGGAGATGTATTTTTGCGAATGCGTTAGTATGAGTTAGAGACACGTACACATATGTACGTACAGTGGGAGAGAACAAGCGGAGGTACCTAACCTAGCTCAACGATTGCGCGACATAGCAAGGCTTTTCTTAGAATATACGTATACATAACAGTGCTATGTAAGCTCTCCCGGCGATTTGTCGTCGTTATTTTTAGGCAGATAACAGCAATGAACTTGAGTATTTTTGGAATTGGTCAGCTGATTGAGCTTACTGCAAGGTTTATCGTGATTATTTATAATTCACGCGCACGATGACGGATTCCGTTGCGTTACCGTTGGTTTGCAAACATGGTCGTTTGCGATTTAAATACTACTTTATCCTTTTCACCGCGGCCGGCTCGGGATGAAAAACCAAAATAAACAGAAGTAGCAGTCCGTTATAACTTCAGAGGATAGGTTTTTCGTAAATCTGAAAATGAATTAGTTAGAATGTGTCAGGGGGTTTAAAATAGAAATAGAGAAAGTAAATGTAGAAGAGATTCTTTAGTTTATAAAAGCATTTAGATTTTACGCCAGAGAAAACAGTGTTTAGCAGTTGGATCAATGAATATCGCTTCCACAACTTGATTGTTGAGATGGTAAATACAGCAGAATAATTCTATTTGTCTGTTTCCTATACGCAGTTTAAAATAGATGGTATTACTGTCGTAATTGATCGAATAACTCGATTATGCGCATAAAAATTGCTATAGTCCGCGTTTATGTCGGATAAGAAAGGAAAAGAATGTAATTTTGAAAAAAGTAAAATATTTCAATAATAATATCTATATTCGCGTTCGAAGCTCTTTTTGAGTCGATGGCAAAAGAGCTACCGGTGATAGGATAGTTGCGTTTGAAGCACATAATAGCGTACGTCTATATCGCAAAAACCTCGTGAGCTTGATTCTCCCTAACGTGCCTGGCTATCAGTACAGCAGCATCCAGAATCACTGGAGCTTCTTCTCGCCAATTAAGGCCTCTCGTGTGTGTGTGCCCGCGCGTTTGTATTTACGGGGGGCAACGGAGCCGCACTGGCAACTAACGTCGTATGTGTGCTCGAGAGGCGCTTAGCGAAAAATCGATGCTGCTGTTACTCGCTTCCGCGAAACAAGTGTGAATCAGCTGTTCTACTTCTTTTGCCTGAAACGATACACAGGCCGTCGCGCGTCGTTTCTGTACGGAT